AGACTTCTGAGGCAACAACATTTTCAAACATGTGCCAACTCAGCAAATGCAACACTCATGAGTCTTTTGGGTGGGGGGAGAGAACCCTGAAAATATCAACTACCTGACAATGCAATCCAAGAAGAAATAAATCAAAATAAAAATCAGTCCAGAATAGAGAAGCTCTGATGACAGGACTAGTGATTAGCACTAAAAAAAAATAAACAACTATTCAAATTATAGCAAACTAGCAAAAATTAGATGGTGAAGGGAGAAAAGGAGATAGGACAAATGAGGGCTAATTTTTCCAGTTTTCAGAATACATTAATTCTGTCTACATTTTAAAAAATAGTTTACTATAAAACCTGGTGACTCTATAGCCTTTAAAATTTATTGTTTAAAGAATTACAAATAATAGTACATATGTCTCCTTCCCCCCCCCCCCCCATCACCCTCCCAGGACTCCCCTACCACCCACCCTACACATTCACATTCCCTCCCCCCTCCCCCCAGTGTCTTGCATCCATTGGTTATGCTTATATGCATGCATACAAGTCCTTTGGTTGGAGTTGTGAGGAATCATTCAATTTGAATATATATATTTGTCAGGTATATACATAATATAAAGCAATAATTTTAGCTTTAGCTTCGTTTCAGTTTCTTCTTTCTTCTTTGATTTCAATTAATAAAGTTTTATAAATTTATTTATAAATCTGTTTTTCTATTTTTCTGTCTAGGGCAGTGGTTCTTGACCTGGAGCAATTCTGCACCCCAGGAGACATTGGAAAGGTCAGAAGATACATCTAGCTGTCATAACTGGGAGAGCAGTTCTACTGGCAGCTAGTGGGAGAGGCCAGAAATACTGCCAAATGCCCTACAGCACCCAGGACAGCCCCAACCATAACGAGGAATTATTCAGACCAATGCCAAGGTTGGGAAACGCTGCCCGAGAGACATCTAACAATGTTTGGAATGATCCACACTGGTGTTAATCAGTATTTCTGAGTTTTGTGTCTCTTGGTGATTATTAAACTCTCTTTTTTGAGATTTCTGTATATCTTAACATTTTATAATAATAATTATATATCAATCAAAACATTAATGTTTAATATTTAAAACAATGAATAAAGATATATATATATATATATATATATATATATATATATATATCAAGAAATGATATTATTGTAGTCCTGAGAATTATTAGGATTCTTAGCATCAGAATAATGGACATCTTTTGAAAGTGATAGAAAGAATCTTTGTTTCCTCACATTTGAAATTTCTTAAATATAAATTGTTAGTAACACAGGTCTTTTCTAAAGAACAGAAAACAAAGCAAAATAGATCACAGAGTATTTTTTTCTCTAAGAAAAAAAGTGTTTCCATTTTATAAAGACACTGTATTATTTAGAAAGTGAAAAGCAAAAAGTATTAATATGAACTAAAATCATATGCTTATTTGAAAACACTTTCATGCCACCAGCCCAAGTGCATTGCTGAGAAATGGCTCAGCTGGAACGAGGAGCTCAAATTCTACGTGAGTTTTTAATCAGGAAAGCCTTTCAATATAACCAACTCCTTTCATTAAACGTCTATCTCTGCATATCATTTAGTTGCTAATACAATCAAAAACTTATTCCTGTCTCTGAGGAACAACTCACAAGCTACAGGTTTCTTGAGCTGTGTTTGATAGATCATTCGCCTTCTCTCATAAACTGCTCTTTATTGATTATCTTTCATGTAACAGGTAATGTACTAGGTACCAGGAACACACTGATAAATGAAGAATAGACCTCCTCTTGAGAGGCTCGAACATACTGAAAGGCCAGTCTGAGAAGTACGTAATTATAATATGTTCAACATTCCTTCAAAGTATAGGATCAAGTGGTCTAGAGACCAGCAGGAGGTTCATGGGGAAAGGGCTTGAATCTGAGGGGACAGTTTTCAGCAAGAGGGCTGGGAGGTTTCTCAGATGAAGGAAAACAAGGGAAGAGGAAGTGAAGCCAGGTGCTCCCAGGGTTTCCTGAGTGCTCTTTGTGCTGTGAGAGCTGCAGAACTAGGGGATAATCCCAGTAGATGTCTTCCTGATGGATGCTCAGAAGCATTTAACCCTGTGTGCCAATACTGGACTTCTCCTCCTCCTCCTCAGCACATGGGGAGAGTTCTGAAGACGCTCCACCCTCAGCTGGCATGCTCTCTGGGGAATTCTTAGGCGTATGGAAGTTGAGGAACTGGGTACTTCAAAGGTGAAGATGTCCCCACTGCGCCAGGGAGAGGGAATAGAAAGGAATGTACAAAAGAGGGTCCTCCTAATTATAACACAGATATTTATAAGAGAAATTATTTACGATTATTCCCATATTTATATACACATTAATTCGTTACTAAGTTTTATGTTTGCAGCACAATTTTAAAGGCAGCTTTATCATTCAGAGCTATTGTATTTTAGGTAAAACATTCCTAATGGTGTTATCAATGACTTCTGACATCGAACAATAATAGCAGAAGTAATACTGAATTTCAGAATCACCTACACTTTTTTTAAAGATGAAAAGAAGGACTTGGGAAAAGACAATATTGATTAATTAGGGGAAAGCTTGTGTCTGGAACCAGTAAGTTTCATACTCATTTTTGTTTATTTGTCCTGCTTTCTCGAGGGTTGATGTAAAAATTTAATCTGTGTGATAAAAGCAAAATATTTTTATTGCTATCTTTCCATTTGTCTTTTTAAATCTAAAACTTCCTTGTCTTGGTGATGGGTACTAGCACTTTTACTGAGCCAATGAAGGGCACTAGCATCTTTATTGTCTCCATGGAAGGCGCTAGAAGCTTTATTGAAATCAGGAAGCTGGAGATCATCCTCAGACCCTTTCATTGAATGAACCTCTCTCATTGCGCCCCTTCTTTAAGCCCCATCCAACCATTGCTTAATTCAAGCCCTCATCATTTTTCCTTGTCTTACATTACAGGTTATTTTGTTGGTCTTTAGGTATATTATTGGTCTTCATGATTTCATTTAGATCATGAAGTTTAAGCTATTTCTCAGCCTTAAATGTTCCAGTCCTAATGCCTTATAGATAATGACCACATATCTTTCTTCCATTTATAAAGCCCACAGTGTATGATCCTGTATCTAGAAGCCCCCAATATATGTACAGTCTATCTCACTTGGAAAGAATAAAAATGTGCCTAGAGCATTTCATCTATAGGGGGCAGATTATCCATAGAGAGGAAAGGGGGCATCCTTTTTTTTCTGCAGCCATTGCTCCTCTTATTGAGAAAATGTAAAAAAGTCCTTCATACAGAAACAGGTCTACACTCTCATGAGAGGCTCAGCCTCCACCCTAAACAGATGCAAAAGACAATAAGGCCAAGGAAAGGTCTCCACTACTGTCTTATTAATAAGTCAGAAATTAATGAGCAGGTCTCTAAGTACTTCAACTAGCTGTAAACTCTTACTCCTAATGTTGGTGCCCTCCCCCTATGTCTCTATAGTCACAAACATTTAATACTCAGCACCAGTGACATTTAGGACAGGTTACTGTAGAGTACTGTCCTGTGCACTGAAGGATATTTAGCAGCATTTCTGGCCTCTCCCTCTAGGTGATAGGAACATTCAACCACACACACACACACACACACACACACACACACACACACACGCGCGCGCGCGCGCATGACAGCCCCAAATGTCTCCAGATGTTGCCAAATGTCCACTAGGGGTGGGTGAGGGAGGAGTCACCTTGGATGGAGAATCACTACTCTAAGTAAAAAGGTGCTGTGTGCCTAAGTTCATAGCAGGAAGTTTTTGAGAAAGAAATCCTAAGGGCTTGAGCTGGTAGTGACCTCAATAAAAGCAGAGAAATTCCCCCAGGGATTGAGGCAAATGAGAATAAGGGGATAGCGGAAGCCATCCTGAGCTCCTGAAAGGTGAGGATCAGAGCCAGCAGGGGGAAGTACATGCGATGTATCAAACACGTGCTCTATAGTCACAAAGTCATTGCCCTGCCTGGATGCATCTGAGTTTACAGCCTCATCTCTTTGCACGTAATTTTTCTCTCCATGAAATATCCTGTGTCATCTTCATGTGATTGTGCAAGGCCTACTGGCAGAACAGGAAGTCGAGCTGATAAAGATTAGCCATGGTAGGTATAATGGCAGACAGTTTTATTTTACAATGTATATATAAATTTTTATATCCCAGCATCATTTTTGCTTTTTTAACTAAGCAACTTTGGCTAGGTGTCCCTGTAAATCCACCGAATTGTCAGATCATCTCTTCCTCTGTTGAGGCCTAGAGTAAAATTTTATTTCACTGTATGCTTTTAGAGTAAATAAATATTTCTTCTATTTCCATTTTAAGTTTTAGAAAAACTAAAAGCTTAAATATTTAATGATTTGGTCTCTATAGGTCTAACTGATTTCAGAAAGCTTATAACTGAATACACATGCTTATTTCATCCCCTGATGAAAATATATATTTTCTAAGCAACTATATTAGAATCTTAAAGCTCTGGTTTAGGGTGTTAAGAGAATGAATATACACAACAGCATGCCCCACTGAGTTCCATAAATACACACACAGGAGAAAAAAAAAGAGAGATTAAAAATTGAAATATGCCTGACTATACTGACATTTGACTGTACTTCTAATCCCCACCCAGGCCCAACAATAGGAAACTGGCATACACTGGTAACATGTATTTTGAACAGCACTGAGGCTTTCCTACATGCTAATAGCATGTGGGAATTGAGGAGTGCTGCAATGTGTTCCTGAACCAATCATCCAGAAGCTTAGGGGTTCCTTTCTCTTGGACCTTAAGAAGGTTTGCCATTCTAGCATTTGACAGGGCTTTGCACACCGTAGAGGCATTTTATTTGTTGGCTGGCTAGAAAACTGTTTCAGACATTACTTACGCGATTTCACGGTAAGATCTGATTAATCACATTATGATGAAAACATGATTCATACGCGGCAGCACTTTCCCCAGATAAGCAACCAACCCATGGCCACCACTTACTGTCTCCCCGGCAGAGCAGAGGCCCCAGCTTGTAAGCTGCTTCTGAAAGCGGCCGGCCTGTGTCTGTGATCACTATCCTAGTCACTGGCAGATGTTCTTTGTAGGAAAGGAATCCAGTGTCATTGGTCCTAAAAAATAGTAACAACACTCTTAAAATTACTCTGATTAACATAATTATCAAATAAACAATAGGCCTTAGTGCATTCCAAAGCCAAGATGTTCTGAGCTAAATGTGCACACACAAGAGTAAGGACCAAATTGCTCATCTGAGCATATAAAAATGTGGCAACATTTTAATTTCTCTCGCAGACAGAATAAGAGCTGGTGATATTTAAAGTCGGTTGGCCATTTTCTACCTCAAATAGAATGGTTTAATCCATTAGCATTTAGTATAATAACTGATACTGCATTTTTAGATCTACCATTTTGATTTTTTTTTTCCCCTTATGAGATATTGTTTCTCTCCCTTCTTTCCTGCCTCTTCTTGGTTTACACCATATTTTTGTATGTATGTTCTTTATTCATTTTTTAGCTATATGTCTGGTTGTATTTTAATATTTGCTTTATTGGTTACAAAACGCAACCTTAATTTATTACAGTCTACTTAGATTTTACATTGTATTATTTAATATAAAATGTTAGCTTCCTACAGGATAATTTCTTTAACACTCCCTCCCAATACACACATATACCTGTTCTTTATGCTGCCATTGTAATATAGGTAACAATGGATGTTACAAACTTTGTAATAGTCCAGATGTTTTAAATTGTATAATTCAACAGTAAAGTTTAATTTATTTTTTTATTAAGAGAAACATTTACATTTACTGACATAGTCACCATTTCTAGATTCTTTATTCCTTTCTGAAGTTCTGAGTCTTCTGTTATTATTTCTCTGAATAACATCTGTTAGCATTTCTTACAGTGCAGTTCTGTTGGCAAAAGATTCTCTCAGCATTTAATTTGAAAACGACTTCTTTTAACTTCATTTTGAAATACATGTTGCTTACAACAGAATTCTAGGTTGACCTTGCTTTTTCTTTCAACACACTAAAGATCTCATTCCTGACCTTCTGACCTGTCTTCCGATGAGAGGTCAGCCTTCAGTGGTATCCTCGTTCGCTGTATGGAAGGGGCCCCTCCAGAGCCACACAACCTGGCTACTTGCAAAACATTTATCGTTATCCTTAGATTTTAGCCACTTGCATAATAAGTCAAGGTGTATTTTTCTCCCTTTTTATTCTGCTTGATATTCTGAGTTTCTGGAATGAGTACACTGAAGATGTATTAGTTATCTTTTATAACGTAACAAATGACCCCAAAACTTCCGTGACTTAAAACAGCACCATTTATGACCTACATTCTAGTCAGGACTCTGGGCAAAGCTTCAAGGGATCCTTTGGCTCAAGGTCTCTCCCAAGACTCCAATCAAAGTTTTAGTGAGGACCCCAGTCGTCTCAGTGCTTGGCTGGGCAGGGACCAGCTTCCAGGCTCACTGAAGCGAGTGTTGGCAGTGTTCTTTGTCAGCTGTTGGACCGCTATTCACTGGCTGTTGGCTGAAGGCCACTCTGGATCCTCAGCCACATGGGCCTCCCCTCAGGACAGATCACAAATGACAGCTTGCCTTATCAGAACAAGAAAGCTAGAAGAGCACAAACCGGTTTGGCTGAGTGGATAGAGCGTCAGCTTGTGGACTAGAAGGTCCCAGGTTCGATTCCAGTTTCTAACTCTCTATCCCTCTCTCATCTTCTCTGGGAAATATCAATAAAATGTGTGGGGGTTTTTTAAAGTTAAAAAAGAAAGCTAGAAGAATCAAAGAGAGAGGCAGTGAGGCTCAAGCAAGTCAGAAGTCAGTCTTTTGTAATCTAATCTCAGGAGAGTTATCTCATCACCTTTCCCACATTCTATTCATCAGAAGCAAGTCACAGGTCCGGGGGACCCTCAAGGAGAGGAAATTCCACCATGATGTGACTATTAGGCAATGCGGATCATCCAGGGGCCATCTTGGAGGCTTGCTACCACAGACATTTATTAAACAAGATGGAGAAATTTTCAGCCATTGTTTCATCAAATATATCTTTGCCTCATTTTATTTCCTGTCCTTCCGGGACTCCATGTTCTTGCCCATTGAATCACTGATGCTTTTCCAAAAGTCACAAGGGTTTCGCTAATTTTGTTCACTCTTTTTGTTGGTGCTCCTGTGTTCTTCAGATTTAATAACTTCTATTGATCTGTCTTCAGGTTCGTTGAAGATTTCTTCTGCAATCTCCTGAACTGAAGTCCATTCATTGAATTTTTCATGTCAGATGTGCCTTCCTATTCTAAGATTTCTATTTGCTCCTTTAATGAAGTTCTCATTTATCTGCTTAGCTTCCTCTCTGTTCACTTGTCATTATGTTTATCTAAGTATTGGGGCATGTTTATAATAACTGTTTTAAAGTTTCTGCCTGCTAATCAAGCATGTGTCCCAGGGTCTGTTTCTAACAAGTGCTTCTATTTTCTAGACTTGAAAACAGAGTTGACTCTTTTTTAAAATATGCAATAATTATTATATTGCTCTGGACATTGGGAGTGATACTGTTGAGACTGTAGGTTCTGTTATTGTCCTGAAGATTCATTTTCATTTTCATGGGCAGTTAAATCACAACTTACCACAATAAATTATGTACGCATGGTTTTACACTTCATTAGGGTAAGCCCATGTCAGTTTTGCTCTTAGTTTTCAATTATAGGCTTTGTTGTAAAGACACAGTCCTTCTGTCATTTCTGTGGAAAGCTGAGGGGTTTGTAAAACTCATCCCAGTGAAACTTAAACTCCAAATTCTGCGTCTCCTCTGGTAGTCACAACTGAAACCTCTGTAGCTTGCTCAGTTTTCTGGTTGGATCCTCTCTGCTTGGTTTCTAGAAATCTCCTCTGTGCCTGTGCAACTCTGGGCTCAGCTGAAGACGAGGAAAGCTTACATGGTGGACGCCCCCAGGTTTTCTCTTATCTGGGATTCCCATTCTCCCCTCAACATCCAGCCATTCTGGCAGCCCAAACTTGTTCTGATACCTCTTAATCCCGCCCCTCACACCACCACCCCCCCGCCCATAAAATCTAGTTGCTGTCTTTGAGTTCTAACTACCACATATCATGTGATCTGATTAGTTCCCTCAAAGAAAAGGCATATATACATAATCTCAACCACCTGAGTTCCAAGGCTCAAAGGCTCCCAACCCTAACAGTTTCTACCTATATTTGGTTGTTTTCCACTTCCTTCAAGTAGTTGTTCTTATAAATAGCTTTTCTGGGATTATAAATGCTCTCTGGGGAAAGTTATTTCTATGCAAACTACATAACCATAGCAGAATTTAATATAAAAAGTTTCAACATCTTATGGTTGAAAATTATTTTTGATGAAGAATATGTTATGGAGGTATTAGAGGGTTATTGGTGATTATGTTAGTTTTTTTCTTCTGTTAAGCATTGCAATGAACATTTTATTCACATTTTAAAATACAATATTACTGTGCAGGTGTTTTTATGAAGGCAGTGAGAAGAGAATACAAATTTTAAAAAACTAGACTTTGAGGAAGAGACAATATCCTTTATACCAAACAGGTAATAGTAAAAGTACAATCGTGACACCATATAGATGCCTCTTTCTAGGGTATTCCAAAATAACCTGTCTTTTGATACAACATAGTCTTGATGTTTGCCAAATAAATCAATGAAACAGCCAGCATACAAATCAAAATGTGAACTCAATTGACAATGAACTGATTACTGGAATTAATGTACATTCTGTAACCAAAGCAATCGTATTTATAGCCAGATGGACTATTAATATTTTTTAAAAAATTATTATGTGCATATCGAGGTGCACAGTAGTATAACATACATATGGTATATTGAACTATGAATATGGAAATTAAAAAATATTTTCACTTCATAAATAAAATCCAACTCTAGTAAAAAATAGAATACATGTATTTTCACGTTTTCAAAGGGAAACACGTATTTAAGACTTTTAAAGAATATTTTAAGTTCAATTTTCAAATCCCTCAAACGTTAGATTTCCTCTTTCAAAATATGATAAACAACACAACATTAGTTCTTTGGTAGGTTGTCTTCTAAAAAAAAATTAAAAAGCTACATGTTTGTGATTGTAGGAAATTCTAAGTTTACATTTTTAAAGGTTTTAGAGGCAATTATTGAGGAAATGTGCTTTAGTAATTACTGGCTGTAAATATATTTTGAGAATAATAGAATGCTTAATTACTCTTAATTTCAAAGAGAATGATAACTGACTAAGAATGAAGAGGAAACATGAAACAGATGCCTCTTTCATTGTATTACAAAAATAAAACGTACATGACTAAGTAGTCCATTACAAAGAAAATTGAACTAAAAAGACATTGATCTTAGCCGAAACCGGTTTGGCTCAGTGGATAGAGAGTCGACCTGCTGACTGAAAGGTCCCAGGTTCAATTCCAGTCAAGGGTATGTAACCTTGGTTGTGGGCACATTCCCAGTAGTGGGTGTGAAAGAGGCAGCTGATCGATGATTCTCTCATCGATGTTTCTAACTCTTTATCCCTCTCTCTTCCTCTCTGTAAGAAATCAATAAAATAAATTTTTTAAAGAGGACATTGATCTTAACATTAGTTAACACCAGACTGATGGTAACACATCTCATCAAAACATACCTGCATCTAATTTCTTCACTGTCCTAACGTGTTCAGTATCTACCTAGCTCTACATGTTTTAAGTGATCCATTTAAAAGGTAAACTTTCTTTTGCGAAAGGAAATCATGTGGAAATCACCATTCATTCCGGTCAGCATCGCAGTTGCAGTAATACTGAGGATCAATGCAGTTCCCCTCTAGTCCACAAGCACATTTTTGAGGATCAGGCAAAGAACCTCCCCAATACGTGTGTGTCTCGTTGGTTCTTCCAACCCACCAGCTCAGAGGGGTCCCATCTGAAAGACAAATGCATGAAATGTGACATCTGCTTTACACCCCCTGCCTTTTGTCTCAGCATCATGCCTCTCCTTCCCAAGTCATTAAAAAATAAATAAATAAAAGGAGAAAGGCAAAGACTGACTTAACGCAGTGATAGTCAAAACATTGTAATTGATGGCATTTCCTGAAGAAAGCTTTTTAAAAAATATTTTATTATTTAAACTCAAATGATGGATATATTTTTCTTTGAGTAGAAAAGACACCAGCAATTCCTATTTAACGCAGGCATGATAACAAAAATGTATTGAAAGCAGTTCACATATGTATTTTTTTGAAAATAATTTTTGAGACAAGTTGGCTTAAAAATATAAACCAGAGTAACTAACATGACAGAAACAAAACTGATTTGAGATAATAAAATGGCCATTTAAAACATTACAGAATGTTATAATATAAAGTCAGTGATTTTTTTTTTATTGCTGTTAATCCTCACCCATGGGTATTTTTACCATTTAATTTTTTAGAGAGAGTGGAAGGGAGAGGAAGGGAGAAAGAGAAAGAAATATTGATGTGAGAGGGACACATCAATTGGTTGCTTCCTGCATGCGCCCGAACTGGCCAGGAATCCAGCCTGCAACAGAGGTGTATGTCCTTGACTGGAATCAAACCTGCAGTGGGCTAAAGTAAAGGATTTATCTCAATATGTGTATTGGCTAAAATAGAGTAGCTATTTATTAAACATTGGGCATGGTATGGCACTTCTCTGTCACGATTTAAGATTTATTTGGAAGTATGTATTTTTCTCTTTCATTTAATGGCTCGGCTATTTATTTGGAGACTACAGAATAACACTGAAAGATCTTTAGTGCCTAAAGCAAACACTACATTCAAAAATAAAGTTTTCCTTAACTGAATGCATTTCTTTCTATGATGAATGTTCAGCTATCAGCTCCTTCTCAGAGTTAAAACTAAACCTGATGTCAAAAAACTAGAGCAAAGAATAGACAGAAGAGTTAAACAGGATTTTGAAAAAAGGAGGTAAAGCATGAGGGCAATATCTCACTTAAAAAAGAGAGGGAGGAAATTGTAGTAGAAGAATGTGAGATCAAATCAGTCAGCTATTCAAAAGTGTTTGATCCTTTTTATGTTGACTTTTAAATCTTTTAAGTTATCATCAGCCTTACTAAAGATCTGGAACTTTTACTAATTTCTCCTTTACTTACAAATGCCAGTGCTCATTATAACTTACTGTTACAATAGGACCTTAGGACCTTACTAGTGCTGGCAACCTACTCCCAACATTACTATACACGAGATCGGGCAAGCCAAAAACAAGGAGTTAGCAAAAACTTGTGTTGTGCATAAAGACATTATCGAGAATCTTCATTTTTAAAATTGCATAATTAATTCATCATTAGAAGGTGAAACCTATTTAAAACATTTACCAGATATTTCAATATGCTGCTTAAAGCACTATGTGTTCATGGATTAAAGAGAAAATAAGTCATCATTCCTAAACAGTGAGTAATATTTTAACCTCTGAATTTTCTATCTTCCTTATAAAGTAGAAATGACTGACTGCTTAGTGGTACCAAATACATTTGGTTCCATCAAAGACTTTTTAAAATGTCCCAAAGAATTTAAGTAAGTATAAGAAAGAACTAAGAAAATGATATAAAATATCATGATCATGGTAGAACATTCCACTTCCCATAGCTAAAATCCCATGTGACTTGTATGTTCACACGGATCGTCCTTCTAATGTGCAGAGTCGGTGGATCCACAGTCTACCTGATTCACCTGCAATGATGGCGCCATGATTACTTGACGCTGTCACAGCTTCCAATCTGAAACTGCAAATTTAACTTGTCTGGCACCATCTTCTTGTTTTCCCCTCTATATTTCTATATTTGACCTCAAAATCCAAATTGTCCTGTCTTTTTAGTTTTTTCTCCTCAAATCCATTCATATGAATTCCAGGGTCATGGACCTGAGAAAATGTGTGTATGTAATGACTCTCCTCATCCCTTGTCCTACAACATTCTAGACTTGACTCCTTTCTACACCAGTGGCTCTCACGCCTGCCTGACACATTGGTCATGCAGTGAGGGAGTGGGGGGCTTTTCTTCAGCTCTATGAGGCCCCCCTCACTTTGTGCGGTGCTTACTCACGAATCCCTTGGAGCTATTGTTTTCTGATTCTGTTAGGTTGACTCATTGTGATTTGAATGGTTGTCTTTCCTTTAGTCTTTCTTTTAGTTAAGTCACTTAATTCATTTAATTCCATAGTATTCATTTACTCTTTTATAAGTGTGGTTCTCATTCTCTTAGAATATACTTCCATATTTGCTTATCTATACTTTAGATTCCAAGGTCAATATTTAACAGCAAGGAACAATCAGTTGCACATTAAGCTGCTATGTTGACTATAATTGTGACATCCTGGAGAATAGGGATCCAGAGGACCTTTCTCCATGCACTTTACATGTGTTCTGCACCCAGTCATCACCGCACCTGGGAGGCTGGTACTGCTGGCCACATTTCAGAGAAGAGAAAATTGAGAAAGTTTCTCCCATCCAAGTTCTATACCTAGTCAACAAGAGACTAGAAATTTGAACACCAACGAAGTCGCTTCATTGTGCCGAGGTCTTAGAATCTTCTCTAACTTCTAAAGAAGAAATACACCTGCTAGGATATTTCTGCCAGAAAACAGCGTCGGGGCATTGCATGAAGGTGCATAAGCAAGCAGGTCCAGAATAGGCACGTCTGGTGTCCAGACAGAAAAGTCTGTATTGGACACACAGGGGACAGGACGGCACTGAGGTTTCTTAAACAGAAACATGTCGTGGTAGCAGCAGTGTTTCTTAAAGGTTAATGTTTTTCATAATAATCAGGATGTTGGCCCCGCTAGCATGACTTAGTGGTTGAGCATCAATGTTTGAACCAGAAGGTCATGGTTTGATTCCTGGTCAGTGGACATGCTGGATTGTGGGCTCATCCCCAGTTGGGGGGCATATAGGAGGCAGCCAGTCAATGATTCTTTCTCGTTATTGATGTTTCTATCTTTCTCTCCCTTTCCCTTCCTCTCTGAAATCAGTAAAAATATATTTTTAAAAAGATCAGGATTTTGGAATATACTCCAGATGGTTAGAAGGTATGGAAAGCCCAAGCAGGGAGGCCAGTTGAAATCTCTCACAGCGGCTAAGAATTGGGTCGCAAAGAACTAGAGTAAAGCAGAACTGTAGGGCCTAGATGTTCTCACATAATGAGATGCCCTAAAGGGAACAAACACAGACCCTGAAACAGAACTTAGGAGCAGACTGGTTATTAGAAGGAGCACACGAGAAAGAGTCAAGATGGTCCTGCTGGAGCTGCGAAAGACTGGGTTTGCAGCACCTATTTTAATTCCCAATTATACCCAGAAGCTCACTGTCAACAGTCCATGAAAAAGAGTCACACAGAACAGTCACTTTCCGAAAAACGAAGTCCTATTTTTATTAGCTCTTTTCCACGATAAAACAAACTGCACGTGTCACTTGCCCTTTGGAAGGGTAAATACTGCATTGGCCAGCTTTCTGTGCAGTCATCAGATTAAGGCCAGGGGAGGACTCAAAGGCAATCAAGGCTTTGAACAAAGCTCGGTGTAAACTGACCTTGTTCTTTTCTCCGGGCTCAGAAACTCTGTGACTTCCAGACTGTGACATGGTTGCTGAATGTACAGGGAGATACCCTCTCAGCGGCGATATGCCACCGCCCCGGCAGAATCTGAGTCCTCAGGAACTGGTGCAGTAGAGCGCGCTGTGCAGGGAGTGTGGGGGGCAGAGGCCTCAGTTTACCCACCTTGCCTGTTTACAAGCCGCGACTTCTTGCAGTAGTAGGCCAGCTCCTGCTTGCAGTGTTCCGCACGGGTGATGGTGGCCTGGAGTTGCTCCAGGCTGGCCGTGTACTCAAAAGACCCAGCATACGGGTTCTCCGGGCGAGCGTTTCTCACTCTTGTTAACTCCGAGCCATTGTGCTGGATGACGGTCCATGCAGTTTCTTGGATGCAGAAATGGGGGAAGAAAGAGAGGAGACCATCACTAGTCTGCAAAAGTTAAAATAAATAAAGAAAATCAAAATCACCTTTTATCTAAGTCAAATTGCTCTAGTCATAAACCTCTCTGCGAAGCAGAATCAACACAAATGGATTCTTGAAATGTAATAAAAAAATCTATAAATAATGGTCTTTGAATTATAGTAAAGTGATCCTATTCCCTGAAATGTATACAATTGCAATGGATTTGCAGTGATTTTGTTGTCATATAATTTAGCCAGACAATATTTATGATAAAATAAAAAATATTAAATTTCTCTGGTGTGTTTCATTTAATCAAATCTGGTGTCCTATTTTTTAAAGATGCATCATCATTTTATTTTCCTACAGGAAAGAAAAAAATACTACCTATTATAATTGTAAAACATTATAGAGTATTGATACACCCAGAATTCAGAGATGTTACAATGTGGAAAAAAAAGCACACCTCAGAATTTGTAAAATATTTTGAATTAGACAATGTACCAATGAATTCTGTAGCCTTTAAAAATTATTCATGTTACCTGCAAAAAAAGAAAAAAGCCAAAATGTTATGGCTTGATATATCTCTCTCCTCAGACAGCATTCAATTATGAGTTCATGTCTATTTCGTTGTAAGTCAAGTTTGACATATTCATTTGGTATCATGTGATCTGCATCATTATGCAGTGCAACAGGAAGTTACTCTTTTGACCTGAACACAACTGATTCAGCACCAGCAGCTCTACTGACACAACAAATAGTAGAGCTATCACTATTAACACCTGGCAAAGTCCGCAAACACTTGCATCATACTGATTAGCAGAAGTGTTTAGAGGAAATAAAATCCCTCCATTGTTTATAACAGAAGTTAGGCATAATGTATCTATCCTTCAGCTTTTCCAGCAAGACTTCATATTATAGTCACTGTGATATATGTGGGCATAAGAACAGATTAATCAAAAGTTCTCTGATTTAATAGGTAAGAAACAGATTGGAAGTTGTCAAAACCTTGATATGCATGTGCTGTTAAGTCGCATATCTTTCTGTACTCAGAGAATTGTCCAAATTAGAGAAAAGCAGTAGGTAGCATTCACTGCCCTCCCCCCCTTTTTCACTAACATATTCATATTCACATAGTTCAACATCAAACCAAGATAAGGAAGTATACTTTGAGAAATTTCACTCCCAGCCCTCCCCTAGTCATCAGAAGCTTGAACGGAGGAGCCTGCTAAATAAATGGCATTGGACACAAATTTGACAGCCTTCCTGCCATGTATGTGTGGATCATTATTTTCCCCTGAAACTGTTGCTTTTGCTTCTGCCTTTTGCCTCAGCTCACCAGCAAGCTTCCTCAGTAAAACACTTCGTTGAGGAGGACAGGCTGTGTGAGCTAATGAAGTTAACTATGGAGGGCCAGGCAGCACAGTGAGGGGCAGGCTTGGCAGGGCTCTGTGCCCCTAAGAAAGTCAGGGGAAACCTGAGCCTCTGGCTCCAAATTTGGAAAATACAGTCGCAGTGGGGTGGGTCTGGAGTTCTATAATTTTAACGAGGCAAATCGGCCAGCCTCGCCTCTGCTGGACTCCGCTTTTATTGTTCAGCAGAACGATTCATCTTGTCTCCTGGTAAATCAAAGGCGCACAGGAAGAAGCCGGGCTGTGCTGAGCCCCTGCCCAGGGGCTGGGACAGTAAACCTGCCTGAAATCTTTGTGGCTGAGCCTGTGGGTCACACTGAGAAGGACTTCCCCACAGTTTAGCGCTGGGTCACAATTAACACATGATTCCAAAGGCCTTTCAAGCTGCTGAGGCCTCAGCACAAGACAACCATTAAAGAGCAGCTCCTAACAGTGTTTCCTTTGGAGTTCTCTAATTTCAACATTATGATCGTTCCTGTACGAGGCTTTAGTTTCTAATAAAAAGTGCTACCACGCATGACGTCACCCAAACAATCTAGATTTCCAGGGCGTGGCAGAGACAATGAACTCATTACAATGGATTCCTAGAGGGGAGCCCGGCGGCCATGTTCCCCCTCCTTACTAACAGGGGAACCCCTCGGAGCTATTAATTTACAGCCTCCTTACTGCCCTTTCAGACATGAGTGTGTGATCTGATGTTTCCACATACACCTATTGAGAAATTACAGCTGTAAGAGACATTGATCCCGTCACAACTTGCAAGTCAGTGCTCTGTGACTTATTGTGTTGGTCCTTTTGCCTGGGCTGTGAGCAGTAGTTTCTGAATTGCTAACCACACAGTCTCCAGGATGCAGCACCGGGGCTTGGCACAACACGCAGGAGAAGACCTTTAAAAAATGAGTAAATAAACAAACTAATGAATAAAAACAACGCATTGTCTAAACTGGAGAGCAGCCTTTCCAGTGGCCTGATCTGATTCTATGGTGGCTCTGAGACCTCCATGCCCTTTAGGTTCTATTGAAGCATCCATCTTGTATGAGAACTGCTGTCTGAAATTTTAACCCTGCTATTTGGCTTCTGTGGATTTAACCTTCCCCAGACAAGGTCATCAGTGCTGGCGCCAGGTCAGGACTCTTTGGTTGAGGTCTCAAGGCCCCCAGTACACACTGGCTCTTTAATTAAGAACTTGCAAAAGGGGGCCGAAAACACTCCATATTTGGGAGACAAAAGAGGGTAGGATCATATAAATAGGGAGAATTCCTGCATGTTGGGGCCCAGAATTTGAGATACATTTTCCTCTGGGCCCGTGCGTAATAAATGTAACTCCATCTCTCTAAGTATTGTTCTTCTTGGGTTTTCTGTAACACTATGACTAACCTGTAGGGAAATTGAGAACTCCAAAATAACATGAAGCCCGAAGTTGTGAAGGGTATGAGATGTTATGCGAGTTACCCTGCCCCATATGCAAATTATGTCTATCTATGTTTAGCTATCTATATATGGATTTAGTTAATGGCGATAAAGACATAGATATATACTGACAGACACAGGAGTTCTCTGGATCCCGGGCCTTTTGCTCGCAAAGCCTTAGCAGCATCCATTCTTGACACCCCAATTTTCCATGAGCGCACACAATGAGTGCCAGATGCCCCTGCATGTGTTAAAGTTGCACGAGAGGGGAACCCCAAAATTCTGGGACTTGAAGCTCACAGAGGATGGCTGGCACCTCTGCTCCCCTCCATGAGGTGAGGGAGGGGAGGGGCATAAGGCCCTGTGTTTGTATCACTCTCAGGATGGAAGCCAATGCTGCTGCTGGAGAGAAGCCTTAAAATCTCTCCAGAGAAATTCACTAACTTCCAAGCCATGGGAAAATTTTGTTATCCTCTAACCTGGGCAGATTATTTTTCTTAGAAAGCAACTTTCCTCACACACAGTTCTTGTCTACAGACTAGGAAACTCTACCCGGTGGAGATGTTCCGATGGCTGCCCCCCTCCACGGCGGCAGAAGCCAGTTTTGTCTCCATTTGCACATTCATTTCCCTGTTCCTGATAAGTACCTGTGTGTCTGTTCTCTGGAGTTCCCGTTTTAAATGGCTGTAACATCTTACCGGTTTCCTCACTGGTGACGTGTTACACAAAATCTTTAAAATGTGTACACAGATAATAATTTAATTTAAATAAATAAATAAATAAATAAATAAATAAATAAAATTTTGAGCAATCTATGTAAAAAGTAGAGTGAAGAAAATAAAAATCATGTGGTCTCAAAAATAATTTTAAAAAGTAAAATGTGTGTCTGTGTTTTTTTAGCTTTCATTTTCTGTCCAAGAGTCATGGTTTTATTTATTTTTTTTTTTAAGTATCCTTTACTCACTGCAAAGAGAGTTGTTGAGCTATGGAGACACAGAGAAATGAGTCAGAAGAGGTAGGCAAAATAGGCAGAAAATCTATTAACTTTAATACATGCACTAAAAAAAAAGAAAAATTGGGAAGGCAGTTTGGGTCTACTGGTGTCTCTCCCTGAGGAGAGTTCCAATAATACAAATTGTATGTAAAGCAACTGAATAATTAAGAGCTTGATTTATCTCAGGCTGGCTGCTATTTTTCAGCGTGATAACAGTGTGCAGGGAAAACATGCTGCTTAAGCAACACGGTTGCAGGGCGCGTGTTCCTTCATGCTAATGACTGGGGGTGATGGATGCGGTGTGGACCGCCAGAGCAGGTAGGCAGCCCTGCGCCCAGGAGAGCAGGCGAGGGGGCAGGAAAACACACCGGAGCAAACCGGTGTCAGCGGGGCTGCCTCCGAGTCATCGGAGTTAGTGATTAACTCTCGCAGCTATGAAGAAGGCCTTTCTGATGGAAATCCCTGAAGGAAAAATAACTTCGTTATGAGGACTGTGCCATCCAGCTCTCTCACTGGAGGGGCTTGGGAGCCTGCATCTCACAGTCACCCTGGGATCTTGTTAATGAAGCAGTGACCCACGCCTCGCTCTGAACTTCCTGACTCACTGAAACTAAAGCCAGGAGGATCCAGAGCAGTGCAGCGGGCAAGGGTGACGGCAAGCCACCAGACTGTCATTTTCACAAAAGTGGCTCTAGCCCTCATCATGTTTTCCCCACGGAAACAACTGTCCGCATTCAATGTTTGATTGATGAGGAACTTCTTGAATATTAAACTATTTCATTATTTCAATTTAGATAAAGCAGTGGCTTTGGTGGAGCAAAAAAAAAAAAAAAAAAAAAAAAAAATGGCCCCTATATTTCTACAGTGTCAGACGCTTGGATTCCTATTGGCCTGGCCAATTATTCTAAAATTATAGTTAGAATACTCTATTTGGAAAGATTTTTTTTTTTTAATGGAATGTATTGGGGTGACACAGGTTAACAAAATGATACAGGTTTCAGGTGCACAATTCCACAGCCCATCATCTATATGCTGTGTTATGTGTTCACCATCACAAGTTAAGGAAAGAATTTTCCGTCTTTAGCATAGTTTAGGGAAGTGTTCATACGAAAGAGATTTTCTGTATTTTTTTTTTTTTAAGTTGTAACGGTTAAAGGTATTAAGAAGTGAGCCACCCGTGGAGGACCCTCACCTGACTATTCTGTCACCATAACTTTGGACTCTCTAGTCTTCAAAACTGTGAGAAAGAAATTTCCATTGTTTACTAGAGGCCCGGTGCATGAAATTCGTTAACAGGTAGGGCTTCTAGGCCTGGCCAGCGATCAGGGTCAATCAGGGGCTTTCTGGCTGCCGGCCAGGGCTTTCCTTTGTTCCATGCTATCCCCTGGTGGTCAGCACATGTCATAGTGAGCGATCAAACTATGGGTTTCCCAGTCAAACTCTGGAGGGGACACTTTGCATATTAGCCTTATACACATATAGATAAATAGATAGCTCCCTAGTTTGGAACTGTGTTAGAGCAGCCAGAAATGGCCACAACAGACAGTGTCCCCAGTGTTTGTCTGGGTAAATAGAAGCCACCTGTTTGCATTATATGAAAAAAGTCTGTAGACACATCCTAGAGTAATATCCCTCCAAATTGTTTCCCAGGTTTCACCTCCGTCTGCAGTTTTTAGATCCACACATTAATACAAAGGAACTGTGGCCCCCATGCTCAACAGCCTTCTCCATGTCTCATCTGGACGTGTGACAGAATCTCAAACTCAAATGTGTGGCCTTGAGCTCCCGAGTTTCCCCTTAAACTTGGTCTGATTACATCCCAAATTATGGCAACTCCAATGTGGGATTGTTTTTCACTTCTTCTGTGTTGCCAGACTTCACAAGTACAAAGAGAAAATGGAACCTCCTTTCCTCATCTGCCTCCATCACCTGCTCTTTCCTGTATCCCTGCATTTCTCGAACTGTCTCCAAACATAGGAGCAATTATAATCCTATTAAAGGAAATCCGCCATTGCTTAAAACTCTCCAGTTTCTCATCTCATTCAGAATAAGACTGGAGACCTTACAAAATTGTCTGGACCCCATGATTCTTCCCCTCCTGCTCCGCCCAACCTGGTTCTTCTACTCTCCTCCTGGACTACTTGATCACTCGCCATACTCCAGCCATGGGGGACTCGCTGGCTTCTGAACCTGCCTGGTACCATCACCCCTCTCAGGACTCACAGGTTGCTCTCTCCACCACCTGAAAGACTCTTCCCCCACATACTGACCACCTGGTTTTAAGTAGGAAATACACCTTTCCAAAACCTTCAATTTAACATGGCCTTTTTCCGTTTGTCTTCCTCCACAAAGCTCTAACTTCCTGACACAGCATTATCCAAAGTAAATTTTCTGAAATATTGAAGTCGGTGACTATTGAGCAGTTAAAATGTGACCAGTGAGGCAGAGGAACTGACATTTATTGTGATCTTAATTTAATGAATTAATTTCAAGTTGTAAAATTTATTTTGATTCATTTTGTTACATTAATTTTAATTAAATTTGAATCTAAATAGGCACTTGTTTACTAATGGCTACTCTACTGGACTAAAGGCCCAGTGCACAAAATTCATACAAGAGTAAGCCTTCCTTCCCCCAGTTGCTGGCACTGGCTTCCCTCTGGCACCAGGGACCCGGGCTTCCCTCCAGCAGCTGGCAGAGAGAGCCCAGGCTTTCCTCACAATCTCTGCTTCATCCGGAAGGTCATCTGGTCTAATTAGCATATTACACTTTTATTATTATAGATAGCCCACTTCATCTAGATTCCATAACTTTGAGTTTGATAAAAAATGAATCAAGACTCTTTTTAAAACTTTAGACACAATTTCCCCAGCACCACTGGTGGTAAGGGGATCTTGATCCCTTCCATTTGGCCTGCTAATCCATGTGCCAATCACACTCTACTTTACTTAGCACATCAGTATAATGTCTTCATATCTGGCAGAGTTGAGCTCTTCAACTTTATTCTTCAAAATTAATTTGAATCCTCTATTTCCTTCAAATCTGTTGATAGATTTTAGAAACTGCTTGCTCGTTTTCACCTAAACACTTACAGAACCAGCAAACAAACACCCTGCTGGAATTTTAATGTAGGTTTGCACAGAATCAATGATTACTTGGGAAAAATTGATATTTATACCACATTAAGTTTCTAATCAATAAAAATTATATATATATTTCTCCATTTATTTAGGATTTTAGTTGATCTCAAGATCATTTCATACTTATCTATGTAGAAGCCTTCACATCTTTCATTAGATTTATTACCATGTATTCAAGATTTGTATGCTATTAAAAATAAATCTAAAATTTCATGTTCTAATTGCTTCTTGCTGGTGTGAAGAAATCAATTTTTATATTACTGATATCCAATAATCATCCTAAATTTTAGTAGTTTACCTGTAGATTGTTTAGACTAGTCTCAATACATAACCTGGTAATCTTAGCTCTTCCTTTCTAGCATTTCTTTCATTCATTTTTCCTGCTTTATTGCACTGACGAGGACCTCCAATTCAATGAAGAACAGTGATAACATCTGGCATCCTTGTGTGAATACTGGTAACAGGGTAAAGCTTTCAGTATTTCGCTATAAACTGTGTTATATGCTGTAAGGAGTTTTGTGGGTAATCTTAACAAATTAAGGAAATTTCCTTCTATTGGTAATCTATTTTCTTTTTTATCATGAACAGATGTTGAATTTAATGAAATATATTTTCATGACGATTCTTATTTAAGTATCCCAGTACACGAGATTCATTCGGACGTGGGAGGAGTGGAGGAGAAGAGGGAGAGTGTCCCTTCAGCCCAGCCTGCACCCTCTCACAGTCTGGGACCCCTCGGGGTATGTCTGCCTGCCGGCCATCAGTCAGAATCCCTCTCGCAGCCCGGGGCTGTTACAGTCTGGGACTCCTTGCTCCTTACCACCTGCTTGCAGTGGAGGCAGGAGAGACTCCCACCACCGCCTCTGCACTCTCCAGCTGTGAGCTTGGCTTCTTGTGGGAGTGCACTGACCACCAGGGGGCAGCTCCTGTGTTGAGAGTCTTCCCCCTAGTGGTCAGTGCATGCCATAGCAACCAGTCAGTCTGCATTTGGGTCAATTTGCATATTACCCTTTTATTATATAGGATGCATAAGTAAGGAATTCAAGAATAAACTTCATGAAAAAGTAAATATTTTTCAAGGCTTTTACATGCTTCAATTTTCTCAGAGAATAAAGTCTACCTTTTTTGTATTGGGACTTAATGAAATACGTTTGTTACTAGATGTTCTATACACACACCGCATACACAGAAAATAATGACAACATTTTAAATCAATATTATTAAACTATTTTTAAATATTTATGTTAGTTCTCTTGACTAACACACATTTCAATCAAATTGCAAATTAGGTCAACTTTCTACTTACTTCATTTTAATTTTATGTTTAAAGCATTCATGAAAATATTACCATTAAATGAAAGCTGATTGACTCACCAGTCATATTGCAATAGAGAAGAAATGGTTCTAAGGGACCACTTCCATCTGAGTCTATATAGTAAAACCCTGAAGTATTTCCTCTGTGCTTATATGCTTCACATGACTGCTCATAGATAGCTGTAAAAAAAAATGGATCATAAATGGAATAGAATGGTAAGTATATTACTGACCTGAAGAAAAGGTAAAATGTACTTTAAAACAAAATTCATTCTTTTTTAAAAGAACTGGTATGGATGAAAGCAGGTTAGATAGAAAAAAAGGAGAATGAGGCTGTATTTTATGGCAATTTTTATCACTAAAGGAATATGAGGATACTCAGTCAAAATGAAAATTCAGTTTATTTTTACATTAGGTAGAGCACAAAAGGGAAAGTAGTTGTCTTAAATGTTAAGACACTTGTAAGTATAATTTTAGACATCCATCTAAATGGATCTTTCAGCATCCATAAGAACCTAATATCTGAAGTACTACAACAGTGTAATCTCCTTAAATCATCTGCTGATAGCCACAGCAATAGAAAAGTTTTAAATAATGTTGCAACTATTCTCCTTTCTCACAGAAAATTATCTATAGGTAAAATCCTATTTTATAATACAAATATGATTTGTAAAGCTCCTCATCAATAATTTAAGCAATAATTTTAAAAAGAAACTTTCTATAATACTCGGTAATGATAAATCAAGATAATTAAAATTCAAAGCAGAAGAAATACTTATATGAAATATGTCCCCAAGTGGATGCAATGTATTTTGATCCATAATAGGATGTTTTTCTTTATACAATTATATAGTTTCCATGTACCAGGTTTGATATTATCACCTGTATATTTCGCACAATTTCACTGAAAACTTGGCCAAATGTACTGATAATTTCCGTCAAGCTTCTTATTCTGTGAAATGAGAAATAAATCATCCCCTGAATGTCCTTCCCTGATCTATTTTAAATTTTTGAAAATTATGTTAATGAGTTTTAGGCAATTCGAAATAATGTAACTAATTTGCTCAGTGTTACAAAATTTTAGATAATCATGCAAAATTACTTCTCCATTCCTCCACAGTCTGATGGTTTTATTTTTTTCCTATTATATATTACACAGACAAAAATAGAAGCATGGATTGCTTTCCAGTCACATTTTCTACAATAGTAAGAAGTTTTAAAACTTCCCCTCCTTCTACACATGCTAAAGACAGTGATGGCTTCACAATAACCAGTAAACAATTTGTCATCCTGGCCCTATTTCTCAGAATGGTTATTAGCAAAAAAAACCCAAAAAAACAAAACAAACAAACAAACAAACAAAAAAACCCAAACCTTCATTTAGACTACTTGCTCAAGAACCTAATAACTCAATAATTGGGTCAAATTTGGAGCCACAGATAAAAATATATTATTTATCATCTGGCTTTTATTCTCAGAGCTGCTTGGATTTGTATTTAAATTCAGTCACTGATGCCCAGCTGGTGTGGCTCAGTGGTTGAGTGTCAACCTATGAAGCAGGAGGTCACAGTTTAATCCCCGGTCAAGGCACATGCCTGGTTTGTAAGCTTGATCCCCAATAGGAGTTGTGCAGGAGGCAGCTGATCAATGATTCTCTCTCATCGTTGATGTTTTTATCTCTTTCTCTTTGAAATAATACAAAAAAAAAAAAAGAATAAATTCAGTCACTGATAATAAGTAAAGACAAATAATGAGTCCATCAAAATACATTCAATTGGCTTTCTGTGTTGATTAGTGACTACCACGGGATGACGGAGGATATGAAAATTAACACAGACTATCCCTTCACTAGCTGGGTGAGTTGGGGGGGTGGATTTTGGCCTCTGGTTCCAGTGAGATGTGACTTCAGGGACAGCAAGCATTCTTCACGATCTTAGATCTTAGAAAGCCTGGGTAAGGTGATGCCTAGGAAAGACCCAGCTGCAGCCCTGAACACGACCTCTGAGCATTCCCTTGCAGAGCCCCCAAGGCTGGAAGCCCCTGGCTTCTGATCTCAACTCTGGCAGGAGTCCAAAACAGAGCCCAGTGAAGAGACCAAGACAGGTGAGGCTGGTGACTGTGAATAACGTCCTTGGGTCTCCTCATCAAATGTATAAAAAAACTGGATGACAGAATGGCATGAGTCTTGCAACACACACAAACATTCCTTCAGAACAAATGCATGGCTTACGATACAGGAAGAGAGTATTGGTTGTGATCCCGGGCAGGAGTTCACATCCCCGCTGTGGCCCACCTCTTTAAGATGCCTCAGGTAAGGTGATAATCTCTCCCGGTCACCTCAGGAGTAAATTAGGGATAATAACAGTACCCACTTATTAAGGTGGCAATCAGAATGAAATGATTTGGGACAACTAGAAATCAACTGGATAGTAAAACTCGGGTGTGTGCCTTTGAATACACAATTGCACATACATGGGCATGTATACTATACACACAGCAATGACAAGAGAGATGGAAGGAGGAAATCAGAACAGAGGCAAGAAGAGATGTGTCTGGCTTACAGTTGTGGCAGGTGGCTCCCGTGTAACCCGTGTTGGCACAGTTGCAATGAAAGGTGTTCCAGGATTGGGAGCACTCCCCACCATGCTCACAGTAGTTGGGCAAACACCTAAAAGAAGGCACAGACACAGTCACTATTTTTCACTCTTAGATACAGAACACTGATCACAGGTCCATGGTCCTGTGAAAAGAGAATGTGAACCGTAACATGAAAAGCAAATTTAACATGACTCATGGTTACACTGTCTGTCATGAAAGCACTTTCACCCCAGAACTCAACTTTAGATCAATGAATTCATCAGATTTCAACCAATTATTGAGCAGTTGTGGCTACTTACTTTTCAACATGTCTTACTCTATCCGAGCCCTTTCTTTCCGCCTAAGTGACATTATAACCAATTCAATATGTTGCCAGAAATATCAACAGCTTATGTAAAATAACATTTAATCATGCTGATGTACTACATTGGTTATTTAAAGGAAAAAGAAAAAGAAAAAGAGAAGGAAGTAGGAGGGAGGGACATCGTTACTCACTTGTGTCTACATTTGAGAATGTGGAAGGTATATGGTATATATAGGCAGATTCCAAACACTGTGATAGGGGCTCCCAGGATATTTAAATGTTCAAGAGAAAGACAGGCATACGTAGAAGCATTGAACAGACTGTCAAACCACAGAGGGAAGGTGGTGAAGAGAGTGTGGGTGGGTAGAGATCAACCAAAGACCTTGTATGCATATATGCATAACCCATGGACACAGACAAAAGGGTGGTAAAGGCCTGGGGTGGGAGTGGAATGGGAGAGGTAAAATGTGTGTGTGTGTGTGGGGGGCATGTAATACTCTCACAATAAACATTTTTTTTTAAAAGAAAGACAGTCTCGCTCAACATCTATCAAATACCCTGTGACTTACTGCTCAAGGCAGTTCACTTTCAAAATTAGATACTAATGACATTCCTTTAATGACACCCTCTCTTTGTGAAGCTGAACCTTTAGTAGTTGATAAAAAATAAGAATCACATGAAATCAATATTGAACAAGGAGTGAAAGTGGCAGTGTCTGATCTTATCCCAGGCTTTGAAAAACTGTACAGTACCCAACAGTAAACATGTGCAATTACCAAGTAACCCACTGTTTTCAATTAGCCACTTTTAATTAAAAAGAAAAATACTATATATTTGTATATAAGTGACTTTTTCAAAGAATTAATAAAGTGTTAGAACAGAAACACTTATGAAGTTGTTTGGGCCCAAAATGCTTTTTAAGTGAAAGCAGTATATCTTTTGGCTTAGGATACAGTGAAAAAAATTACTGAATGATGCATTGTATCCAAGACTTTAAATGTTCTCATTCATCCCATGTTTAAAAAATAAATTAGCCACAAAACCTGCCAAGAATGTATTTATGATAGCATTTCTGCCATCTCCTTTATTAAAACAGAGTGCGAACTTCAGGTTTTGCTTATTGGATTTTTTCAACTTCAACTGAAAATAACATATTGATTATTCTTGATAAAAAGTATATGTCCAATGTATAGAAATTAATTCAGGAAACACTAGAAAAGAAATATCATTTACAATCTAAACGCATAAAAATTACCACTGTAAACTTACATGTTATGTGTTTGTGTACATATATGCATTATTTATGTGTATGTATATGTGTGTATAATCATAACATTCATGTTATTTTACAACCTGCCTTCCAAAAATTCAAAAATAATGAGTATTTTCCTTGCCAATTAAGTTTACATATATTTTATCATTTTTATAGATTCATGGGAATCCATTCAAAGAATGTTTTGCTATGTATTTAATATCGTAAGCATTTCAAGTCAGTAACAACCAAGAAGAGAAACATTTTTGAAAATTAGAACAATAACAATCCTAGCTGGTCATCAGAAGAGGACAAAGCAATCTATTACTTAACAGTCATCAAATCATATCTAAAAGTGGGCAGTTGCCAAGCTAAATTTCTAAAGAATGAATCTTTAATTATTATTATGCATGTGTTATTTCTAATTGATCTGCTACTGAAAGATTCAGATCCATTTTCCTTGAATGTTAGTCAGACACTACTTTTCACATTTTTTAACTGTAAAGTGAAACCCTGGATTGTGGATTTTATTTCAATTCATCGAATATAGTAGTTCTGTTTGACTACTACTTGTAATTTATAGCAAATCACATTGTTTAATGAAGTACTATTTCTCAGTAAAAGTCCTAAACAATTGTGTTGCACACTTTTCTCCTCAGCAATCATCCCAATACAAAGTAAAACAACCCACCAACCCATTTTCTTCTGCCTTTTCCTTAGACTTTTCCATCATTACCTGCCTTGCTGGTGACCTTGTACAAACTATGTACATGCATCAACATTCCCCAAACTGAAGTGATGTGTACAGTTTTGGCTTCCCCTGATTCCCTATCTATTCCAATAAAAACTTCAAAACACTCTGACACAATGTAAAACATGGCTAGAAATAATGATATTGAAGTAAAAATCTATGTAAGCATGATCACATTTAGGAAAATTGAATAGGTAGGTGCCTATGGGTCCTACAATAATTGTAACCTCCTGAATTCAATGTTGGCCTTCCTCAATCAGCAGTTATTCTTAAAAATATGATGTCAAAATATACCTTTTTGAAGATATTATACCAAAATAATTATTTTGTTTAAGAAGTGCTTTAGGTCCAAGCAATTTAGTTAGTATGTATTCCCTAACAACTGTCACCTGCTGCCTCAGCCCACTTGTGTTTCTGCCAAGATAGGGGGACATGGTCATGGGGACATGGCTGCAGCGCCCTCTTCAGTTCTGTCCTCACCCCTTGATCATCCCCTCCCAGATTCCCTGGGCTTAGGGCCACCTCCACTGCATTTCTACAGAGGACAAGGCAAGGGTTTGTGGACAAGAGTGGGTGTGTTTATGTGTGAGTGTGTATAAGAAGACGTGTGTGTGTGTGTGTGTGTGTGTGTGTGTGCAGTAAGTGTGGGAATTATCTTATGAGTTTATAAGTGAGTGTGTAAAGATTGTGTGTGCAAGAGATAGTGTACTTGTATATGAGTGTGTGTGTATATGGGTTAATGTGTGAGGAGCTATGTGAATGTTTGTATAAGGAGCATGTGGACATAAGGGTTGTGCATGGTAGAGAGCTTTGGGATATGTATGTGATGAGCACATGTGTGTATGTGTGTGACAGACTGTATAATATGGGCATGAGCACATATTTATTGCATGTACACCATTATGCATAGATTTGATCCAACTTAGTTACAGTAAAAAAAAGCAACATTGCTTTAATTCCTGTCAAATTGTTAAATATATTTTAATGTTCCTGTTTTTCACTGCAATTTATTAAACCATTAAATTTTGCATTTATTATACATCAACTACACATTAACCACGATGCATGTTAATGGGCACCGAGGCGGGTGTACGGCCTGGCAGGTACACGGTTCAGAGGGACTTTCCCAGAATCAGAAGGCTCAGAGTTGATGCTGGGCTCTGCCTCCCAGACATGCCATCTTAGCCAACCTTTCTGAGCATCTTTGCCCATATTTGTAATAAATAAATACAATTAAGGACAGGTTATAAGGGTTTTTATGAGGATTGATTTAAATACATATTAGTTAATTTAAAATTAATTTTAGAACATAGTCATTGCACAATCTCACACATACGTACACATTCATAAAGTCACTGACATACCCAAAAGCTCCTTATATCCTTACACAAATACCCACACAATCTTCACACATTACCCTATACACATACACACACACCAGCACACATTCACACAGGTCCACACCATCCATACACACTCACACACTGTTGTAAGGTCATTCCCATACACATTCCCATACCCTTTATGCACATATACTTTCTTTATACATAGACCTTCTCACACATACAAATTTATATACTAATTCAGGGAGAGTTATGTTAAATACATATAAATTTATAAAATTGAGACTTAGTTGTGAATTGAATAAAATACTCACAGATATATATAATACTCCTTCAAGTAATTGTAGATGCGTTTATGATAAATGAATATATATTAATATAAACAATTACTGTAATATAAATATAAATAGCTTTTATATCCTGCATTTTGTTTTCTATTGTGTGTGCATGTGAAGGTAATTATGCAAAATATTTGTATAACAATGAATGGCTGGCAATGAGGATATGAATGATTTTATTGACTTCATTACACCTTGTATTTTGCAATTTAAAAAAATAATCATGTCTTGCATTCACTGTTTCCAAACATTTATTCTTATTTCTCCCATCCAAGTACTAACCAGGCCCGACCCTGCTTAGCTTCCGAGATCAGACGAGATCGGGCGCGTTCAGGGTGGTATGGCCGTAGACTATTCTTATTTCTCATCTCAACTGCTCCTCAGAGATATTTAAAGACTTAGAATCTAGATACCTGTTTGAAAAATACTGGAAAATATATCTGACACTTTGCCAAATTACTTTTCTTTCTCCCGTATCCCTTTCCCATTTCTCCCTTTCCTATTTCAATAAAACTTCTGAAATAATAAATAAATAAATAGTAATTCATATTAAGTGCTTAGCATAGAGCTAGTATACAGATTTATTTGTAAAAGACTCTATTTAATAATGCTTTGGAAGCTATGTCAATAGTTATAGCACGTGAGACCAAAATAAATGACTATAATCAGTCCTCTGTATCTAACAGTTTTGCATCTGTGGATTCAACCAACAGGGATGGAAAATATTCGAGGGTATGAGGGAGTTACCTTGTTGCTGACATGTACTAGGTAGTCAGTTAGGCCTACAATAATTGCAACTGTATTGAACATGTATAGACTTTCTTTCTTGTCATCATTCCCTAAATTATACAGTATACCAGCTATTTTTACATAGCATTTACATAGTATTAGCTGTTATAAGTAGTGCAGAGATGATTTAAAGCATCTGGGAGGACTGCGTAGGTTATATACAAACACCATGCCATTGTACATAAAGAACTCAAGTATCCAAAGATTTTGTACCTGCAGAGGAATTAAAGGATGGCTATATAGACATATAAATATAAGCATCCTTTAGTATCCGTGGGAGGACTGGTTCTAATACCTCTGCAGGTACAAAATGAGTATAAGAGAATGACACATTTGGGAATTTAAAAGGTATACGAATGTAAAAGTTACTTTTATGTTTGCTACTTTTTTTAAAATATGTGTTTTATTGATTTTTTACAGAGAGGAAGGGAGAGAAATAGAGAGCTAGAAATGTCGATGAGAGAGAAACATGGACCAGCTGCCTCTTGCACACCCCCTACTGGGGATGTGCCCGCAACCAATATACATGCCCTTGACCGGAATCGAACCCAGGACCTTTCAGTCCGCAGAACGAAGCTTTACCACTGAGCCAAACCGGTTTTGGCTATGTTTGTTTGCTATTTTTCTAAGATTGCTAGGGTTCCCCTGAACCTAATGTATTTCTAAAAAAAAAAAAAAAAAAAAAAAAAAAAAAAAAAAAAAAAAAAAAAACCATAGTCAAGACCGCTGCATAATTTGCTATTTCTGAAGTCCCTTTAAGGTATGATATTGAAATCATATATTTTATAATTATATTCTGATTCCGAGTTTGACCTCCAGAAAGCAGGCGACTGGGGTTCAGGTGTAAATGGCAGATCCAGAGCCACCACCCAGGAGAAGCATGGATCTGCTTGTACCCAAAGAAATGTCTGCAGTCTGAGCTGGTCGACATGACTATCATTCGTTGGTGGTGACCAAACCTACCCCTGGTCTCTGATGGCTGTTACCCATCAGAGGTGGGGTCTCCCTGACTGTGTGTGAGCCCCACCTCCAGGGAACAGATCCAGGGAGTCTTGCTCTATGCTTCCTCAAAATTGGGATTAAGGGTTCAGAGCTGATGTGGTTGTAACTATGCAAAAGCTCACTGTCATTTAATCCCCGAATCAAGCCAGTTGAAGTTCATTATGCAAATTCTCCCTTTACATATCACCTTTCATTATAGAAAGACTTTTTTTTCTACAAACTGGGTTAAATAACTAAACGTATTCATGGAAAAGAAATGGTACCCTTCTAATGCATTGTTAAATTAAGAGTATAATTATTTTTATAAACATAACAATATGTGTTGGTGTTCAAAACAGGACCAATAGACATTGATAGACTAAATGGCCGGTCAGATAGAAATAGATGAGTGTTTGTGTTAATAAAATATTTCATACAAATAAAAAGTTATTTTTAAAATTCTGAATTTACTCAAAATTTATACTGCACACTACTACAGGATAAGGGCTAGGTTTCTCACATGGTTTAATTCTTTTAAATGTCAATGGTCATGACATTCCATTGAACTCAGTCACTACAGTTAGCAGCCTTACTATTAAAGCATGACTGAAAAGATTATTTGGGTAAGGTTGAACATGCCTGAAGATATTTTAAAATTATCAATATAAGCCAAGTCATAATTCAAAAGCTGCTTATCCTCTGCAATTAATTCCCAAATCTTGCACCACCAAGCCCTGTACTGGAGTCCTGTTGAAACTACTGGGTTAGCCTTACACCTTGATCTACACTCCAGCTCCAGACTTTTCCGTGGGACGGGTTTCTTTTCAGATTCCCTGCAAAGAAGATAATAATGGTTTTTTGGAGGTGCATGAGGAGCATAGCAACCACTTCCTTTTCTCTGCCTGTGAAAACACTCCTCAGCTGCCAGGGAGCAAAAGGCAGGTTAAAACTGGCCAAACAGGTCTCCAATTTATTGGTACTAGATGATCAAAATGATTGTGAGGGTGTCCTAAGCTACTGAGTTTAATGTTATGTTTTCATTCAGTTATAGCCACCTAAAATTATAGCAGCATCAACATTATCTTTTGTGAGCTGGTAGCATGTGTCCTTGCAAACAACATGGTCACATGTTTTCTATCTAAGCTTTATCATCACAAATATGAAGTATAAACCTAAAAGTTTATTTATTTTTCTTATTTCTGATGTGTACATAATAATCTATTCCCCATGGAAAAGGTGACGGTGAAAAAGAGGAGAGAACAAAATGTCTGTTTTTTATATAAATTTTAATCTGCCACCAAACAATTGGACAAATAAGCACAAGGGTGAGAGGGTCTTACCTGTCTGTGATGCCACAGGAGTCTATCTGAAGGTCACTGAAGTTGCCCAGGGTCCCCTGCTGAACCGAAATCAGATCCACCACTTTGTTGCTGATGGAAATGCGTCTCATGCATCCCTGAAATCCACCAAGGGGATTTTTACATTTGGATCCAAAGCTGTTGTCAGGACAACCTGATAAGCGAAAACAAAGTAAAACCGAGATATACCACTATGAGTAAAAATTCAGTGTCATAGAACACTTCTTTAAAAAATAAAACAGGCATTTGATTATTTTATTAAAAGAGGGAGAAAAGCCCATTGCAGTTATCATTAGTTTGATCTCAGTTACAAATTTCAATTCATACAATGCACTTCTCTTTATTATCACAAGATTCATAGGAAATTACTACTGTTATAATAATTATGGGCAAGAATCCCGACTTGATTCAAATTTTAAAATTATGCATATATTAGCTCGAGAATACGTTAGTCAGCAGTATTAAATTGTCTGTAATTTAAAGACAGGAACTTAGCCTTCTGGAACACAAAAAGGGTAGAAAGAATGAAAATGTGCACTGTAGAAAGAAAGATAAATACATCAATAATAGTGAAATACCTTTGCATTTAAAGCTAACTATTTGGAAAAGAAGTTATATTCACTTAAAATACCAAAAAATAATTCAATGCTTTATTTTAATGTGCATACAAGAGCCAAATATACATGCATTTTAATAAACCATAACGGCTTAATGTCAAAAACTTTTCACAACTGGATTTTATTTATTCTTTGCCTCAAAAAAGAATGTTCTTTTATATTGATTTTTTCCTAACATTTACCTAAGACCTGTTCCTAATTATTTAAATAATAAAGAACTATAATACTGACCATTATTGTCTGGAATTTAATGATGTTCTAAGTGTTTGTCTACCCAAGTGAAATAAATAATTTTATGGAGTATGACCACATATATTATACTTACGCATCTTTCATTAATCTTTCTTTGCCGTTACGGTTGTCAACCACTGTTACAATTTCAAAGAATAAGAAATGAGTCAGCAACTTCCTAATTGGGTACAATCCAAGCTAGTTTCCTACCTGGAAACGTACAGCATCACTAAATATTTCGACTGAGGATACTTACCCTTAGTGCTTTGTTTTTCTAACAAAATGCAATTATATGGCAATTCAAGGCCAGATTCATATTCAAAACTGTTATCAGACACATTGAAATGCTGTATTTTAACCAATGGAGACAGTGAAGTTTCAAATGTAATTGATCAAGGAAAGGAAATGAAAGCTCTTTTGAGTATCAATTTATAGTGCCTAGCACTGTATTTTCAGTGTTTAAGTCACCTCTGTGGTGTAGGATACGGTTACCGTACCTCTATATGTTTTCTCGATGACTTATTAAGCAATTAAGGATGTGAAAACAAAAACAGAGAGGATAATAGTTCAATAATATTTGGGGCAACCACTCTATGCCAGGAATATAAACAGCTCTGCTAATCTCCTCTTCTCCAGGTGGTGTTTCCTGACACATTTCAAACTATTTCAGGATAAAATAAATTACGCAACATGCCTGTGGGAAACAAAACTAAGCAAACTTGCAGTCACAAGGGGAGGTCATGGAACTTTACAGCAAACACACCCTCTTATCACAGGGCCTTTTATATTCCATGCCACAGTGTTTAATAGCAAGAGAGGCTAAGAACAAAGAAAGGTTCAAGGCAGGTTCCTCTCATTATTCTGTAATAACAGGTATCACAAGTTCACGTAATGCAGCAGCAGAGAGAAGTATAGCACTGAACCTGTCTGAAACGAAAGTTCTAAACTCTGAAGATTTCTGGGGAATACTTAATGCCGCGTTAATGGATGGATCCATTAGTAGAGGCAGTCAGCAGGTGAAAGCCCCTCTGAGGGTGACAGATAAATTATCACTGAATGTCACTGTGCCAGAGTGACATGACGGGTTTGACTTCCTGGTGATGCAGCGAGTTCAGTGGGTGGATAACGTTTGATCTGCACAAGCAGGAACGTGTGAGTTTTGCACACGGTTTGGTATCTCTAGCATGTGCCATTCAGTGTATTAGTCAAGAGCACAAAGAGTGCACAGGGGGATATGCAGAAATTAATCTGGAGAACCCAGATTTAAAACTGAGCATTTATAAACGATAAAAGCTGGCCACGATGCAGTCTGACTTTTTGAAAAGCATGCATTTATTTGAGGGGGGAGTAGAACAGAGTCAAAAATGACAGGCAGATAGTAGAGGTTGGCATGCTGTACATAGAGTGCTGCAAGTTCAGAAGCCACCCCCTCTCCCAAAGTGACAGTGGCTCCGGGACCAACAGAGAATGGAGCTGCACCCAGGCTGCCTGAGCGGACTGCTCCTCCACAGTGGGGTGCTGGTCGGACCATTTGCTGATAAGAGAATTGTAAGCCTGCCATTGAATTTAAAGACAAGCAAGGGAGTACTGATGGGACATGTGTCAGAACATGGGATATTTATTTACTTGAAGATAAACTGGCTGAAGAATGAACTAAGAAAAACTTTCCATCTACGGAAGACGGCCTAGTGATAAAGGGAACCTTCATCTTCACAGACCAGAAAGTTTTCTGGGTGAACGTCCCTCAGAGTCTTCCCTGGGGTTCCCAGGACTCAGCTTTCAGTGCCAAACCTGGGAAGGTCTGGTCACTCCACTGCCAGTACCATCAGGTAGTCAGGGCCCTGTGCCTGTCCTGGACTTTCGGGGACCTCATGTAGCCTTCATCCAACGATGCTTCTGCTTGTGGCCCCAAGAGGCCTCACCAAGTAAGGCCATGTGCCTACTCAGACCTTTCTCCTCACTGCCCAGTCCACATCCAGAATTCCCAGCCCCAAAGCCCTAAGCAGGCTCCCAGAGGAATGGACCGCTTCCAGCAAGTCCTGAAGGCACCAGGCTGGGGGGAGGAGGCCCACAGCAGAAGCCCTCGCTCCCTGCCCTGGAATGCCAGGGAGCCCTGGCCTTGACAGGAGATGTATTTAGTGACTGGGACTTCATGCCAGGATCAAACATATTCCGGTTCTGAAGGGAACCGATTGAGAAGATGAATGAATAAACAGAGATACCTAAGTAAACTTAAGATGGGTGATCTTTTTAAAGTGCCAAAGTTAGAATTCTACTATGGAAGATCCCACAGTGCATTGTTCAAAAATTCAGAAACATCTTAATTCAGAAACATCTTAGATGTCAAATCATGAAGATCAGGAGGGAAAGAGTAAACCCCAAATTTAAGACACAAAGGGCCAGGACAAATGGGTGTTTGGTGATATTATCATCCTGAAGCTGGGAAATGCATCTGAGATGTGTATTTTTTTTTTTTTAATAACCAGGAGCCTTTAAATTGTATATATCATGTAAGATGTGAACAACAGAGGAAATTGAGTGTGAGCATATAGGAAGTTGCTGTACATTTTTGCAAATTTTCAGTAAATCTAAAACTGTTCACAAAGCTTATTTAAATATAATGGTGTATATCATATGCATCACAACAAAAGCAATCTGAGCGCACATGCGACCTATTTCACTATAAAATATTATGGGTATGAATAAAAACAATAGAAATCTTCTACACACAAAAAAAAAAATAGGTAGGCATTGTTAAATCTGAACATGGACGTAAAATACTTTAAGAATGATGATTCCATTATCATGATTTACACTTTCATCCAGCCTTTTACTTTTATCTTTTTGTGTGTGTGAAACATTTGATAATATGCTTGTTCTTTTTCTCTTTATCTCTGTTAGTGCTTCTAAATCTTTTTCTTTGAAGTAAAAGCTCTTGGTTAAGTTGGTGTATGTATTTTACCATCTCTTAAAGGAATATGTTCCTATGGATTACCAGATAATCAATCATATATCCATCAGGTTTTATAAACAACGTGGTTCAGAAATATACAAATCTTACTAAAGGAAGAGATTATATCTTTTAAGATTGTTGGCAGTACGCTGCCTTTCACAGTTATAGATCATGTAGGGGTTTTGTTTGTTCTTAAAATTAGATGAATGATTCATGCTTACTGTCAATTCTCAGAATGGAATTTGTATTTTATCTATATATAATAAAGATTGTGCTTTCCACCAAATTCAAGAGTGATTCTAGACAAAAGTAACAAAATTTGAAATAACAACGACAACAAAAATACACACATATCTCAACCTCAAGTCATGTTAGAAATAAGCCCTACTAATAGTTTTACAACTTTACCTTTCAAATGGCAAATAACATTTTATGTAATTTTCAGTACTAATGATGTATTTCCATTTCCAAGCTTTCCTTTCCAAGTTTTTAGTTCAATCAAACATCCACTGGGCAAGTAAATGCTTCATTTGTTTTTGTTCTCTGAGAGAGATGGCCTGGCATTGAAGGCTAATGCCCGAACTTCACCAAGTGTATCAGTTATTACATTATTACTTAGCATTGAGAAGAGGTTTCTATAACTAATTATGCTAGATTATTTTGTCCATTAGCATAACTTTGCCCTTCTGTACTGGGCAGTAGAAAAGCAATAAGGATGCTCTGAAGATGCTAAGAGGCACCATCAGGAAAATACTGCAGAAAAGGACATATAAGGACCATTTAACATTAGAAAAATATAACAAAGTTTAAAAGTAAAAACTGAAGCTCAGCCAGCAATGGCTCAAGTGGTTGAACCAGGAGGTCCCGGGTTTGATTCTGGTCAAGGACACACATGCCTGGGTTGCACGCTCAATCCCCACTGGGCATGCAAGCAGCAGCGGCTCAAATGATTCTCTCTCATCATAACTGATGTTTCTATCTCTCTCCCCCTCTCTCTTCCTCTCTGAATTAAATAAAAATGTTTTGTTTTTTTAAAAAAAACTTAAAAAAATAAAGTAAGAACTGAAGAGGGTGGCCTAATTTCAATCAATCTCATTATAGAAACTGTAAATACAAGTAAGTTCACCTCAAAGAAAATTTTAGGTCATAGTTTGTCATCTTGATCCACTCAACATTTTCATGTTCAAAGAAAGTGAGACATTATCCCATGGCATTGGCACTAGGTGAAACATGATGACATCACCAAGACACAAGCCTAGGAACTGCAAATACGGTTCAATTGCCCATGAGCCCAACCTCTTCCCTTACCTCCAAAATAATAGGTGCCGCCTGAATAAACCTGCTCAGGCCCCAGGGAAGCAGCAGCAGAGGCCACCTGGCCATCCACCACCACACTCAGGTGATTCCTCCTGGCAGATAAGGAGACGGAATGCCACTGTCCATCATTCAGTTCAACACCTAGGAGAGATAAAACCAGTTAAAAGAGTTATGTCTCAACAGTGGACAATATAAACAGTTGGTGAGGAACAGTGGGAACAGTTGGTGAGAAACAGCAATATACACATCACTCAATCAAGTACAACTCAAATCCTATATAATAAAAGCCTAATATGCAAATCAACTGAATGGCTGAATGACCAGTGGAACAACGGGTTGCTATGATGCGCACTGACCACCAGGGGGCAGATGCTCAATGGAGGAGCTGCCCCCAGCAGGATGGCCCCAGGCCAGCCAAGGCAGGTGCCAGTGGTGGCCCCACAATCACCCTGCCAGTAACACCGCAGAGGAGGCAACCAGTGACAGTGGCGGCGGGAGCCAGGGCCAGCAAGCTGTGGCACCAGGTTGGCCAAAGCAGGTGCCAGTGGGCTCCCTGCCCCCATCATCCTACCGGTCAATCCACAGGTCAGCTCTGATTGCCAGCCAGGCCTAGAAAACCTACCCATGCGTGAATTTTGTGTATTGGGCCTTTAGTCTATTAATAAAAGGAAACAAAGGGAAAGAAGGCAAATGGGAAATAGCACTCTCTATGGGGGTAATGTGCATTATTACCTTCCTTTCTTGGGGCCTTAATAGAGAAAACAACATTTCCATAATTGGACAATCCTAATGGTTAAAAATCTTTCAATTAGTTGGCATGAACTAATTTTCAGCTTCCATCATGTAATTTAGCTTTAATAGGGAGGGGTTTGGGAAGATCCCAACTATTTTAGAAAATTTGAGGTTATACTCAATAAAATGATTTATCTTTTACTAGAGGCCAAGTGCACAAATTTGTGCACCAGTAGAGTCCCTCAGCCTGGTCTGTGGGACTGGGTCAAAACTGGCTTTCCAACATCCCCTGAAGGGTCCCTGATTGTGAAAGGGCACAGGCTAAGCCAAGAGACCCCACTGGTGCACGATCAGAGCTGGGGAGGGACACGGGAGGTTGGCCAATTGGTGAGGGTCCATGTGAGGGGTCCAGGGTGTGTCCAGCTCTTCTCATTCAGCCCCGATTGGCCAGACTCCAGCAACAAGCTAACTTATTGGTTGGAGCATCTGACCCCTGGTGGACAGTGCACATCATAGTGAGTGGTTGAGCAGCCTTACTATGTCATTAGTATATTACACTTTGATTGGTTGAACGGAGGACCAGACGACCGGACGCTTAGTATATTAGGCTCTTATTATTTAGGATGTGTTAAAAAGATGATTACCTATTATGATAGTATAGAATATTTAGCAAAATTTATTAATTTATTTGTTAATTCAATCATTATGAAATATTTGAAGAACCTATAATAAATATTAAAAACTTAGTATTATAATGAAAAGTTTAAAAATAAAGCTGTGTACAAAACTATATTTATACAGTTGAGCCTCATATTTTGCAGATTCCACCTTTGCTATTTCACCCACTGGCTATGATTTATGTGTAATCCCAAAATCAACACTCGGAGCACTTTTGGAGGCACTCACAGAAGGACAGAGCAGAGATCTATGAACACAGGTTCACAGCTGAAGTCAGATAGGGTTGGCTTCTAGTTTCAGCTCTCTGCCATAAACATGTCTTGTCACATTTTTGTGCTTTTGTTGATGATTTTAATGTTTAAAAGACCCTGAGCCAAGTGATGAAATGCCATCCAGTGTTCCTAAGTATGTGAAGGCTATGATGTACCTTCACATCATATATGTATTACATAAGCTTCACTCAGGAATGAGTTACCTTGCTGTTGGCCATTTGTTTAATGTGAATGAATCAATAAGGTGTCTTTACACAGAATCACACATAAACATGGTAATGTATGATGTGTTAACAAAAATGTTGTGACCAGAGGCCCTGGGAGCAATGGTTCAATGTTTGCTAATCTGATGTTCAAATTAAGTTTATAGGACACAACTATTGCGAATAATGATATATATCATAATAGTTATAGTTCTAATTTTTGTATAAATAAGGAAAAGGACCAAAAGGAAATAGTCCTACGAATAGTGATTTTTGCATGAAGTTAAATTGTGTTTTTTTATGTTCATTTTTAAATATTTTCCTGTATCAACAAAGTTTATATATACAATACAATATTTCTTTAACCAAGGTTTTCTTATTGCCTCTAAATAACAATTCCCTGTCCCTCCTAAGACAGTCCCCAGTGTCATGATTCTATGAGGTGGTGTAGACTTTGCCTCCTAGAGGGAATTAAGTGTACAAGGGCTCTGAGGTGGAATACTCAGCAGACAGGTGGAATTTAGAGCATCTTTGTTGTGGATTTGCCAGTAAGTTTTACTTCCACTGATGGTCAACTCTGTATGATCTTGCAGATCAAATTAGTAAATGAAAATATAAGTACTCAATTAAACCTGAAGGTTTCTCTTCTTGATAATATGTGCACTTTCTTTATTTACCAAGCTATTTTCGACCACAAGCTTTCAGACAGAAAATGCATAGAAGCTCCCTTAGGCAATTAAGCTCTTTGCTCTGAACTCATTTAGTAGAACATAAATTCCATCCTGGGCATCAAAGCTCATTTTTACTTTATAACCATGAAGCAAAACAGAATTTCAAAGACCCAATTCTGCTTTGCTTTGTAAAAGAAGAAAGACCTGAAAACTGAAAAATGAAGAACGTAGGTTACTTTTAGACATATTTGCTAAGCGTAGACTCTGAAATAGACAGCTGAATAGAGTTACATACTCCCTGATGCTATGAACTTGGGCTAAAATCAAATGCCCCAGATTTGTCATCCAGAGCTTCCCCCCAGAGAACACATTCAGAGTGAAGACCCTTGTGTGAGTTTTGAGTCACACTCAACCCTCCCTCTCTCCCTGCCCCACTACGTGTCTCCTGCCATCTTTTCTCAAAGCATTAGTGTGCCCGTGTACATGACTTTACTCCTGTTATTTCCTTTTAGGCTCTCTGTTGGTCCAGGATAGTGCTTCTCAAACTAGCTGTGATGATGAGCATTTTTCCCTCTACATATTGCAGATTGATACTTATACAAAATGCAACCACAATGAATTGCTAAAAAACTAAATTAAGAGGATGTATATGACACAAATCCACTGACTACATGCTTAGATGGTTCAGAATATCTTAGTGCTACAGCAGTTTCTAAGAGCTTCATCTTATTATTTTTTTAATCCTCATCTGAGGACATTTTTTCCATTGACTTTGTAGAGAGAGAGGAAGAAAGAGAGATGAGGGGCGGGGGGGGGGGGAGGAGGGAGGAGAAACATCAATGTGAGAGAGACACATGGATTGGCTGCCTCCTGCACATGCCCAGACAGGGGCCAGGGACAAATCTGCAACCACGGTATGTGCCCTTGGCTGGGAACCAAACGTGCAAATCTTTGGTTCTTGAGCCAATGCACTGAAGGCTGAGTGAAACCCATCTCAATTTTTATACCCGTCCAGGAACAAGTATTGCACTGAGCCAGTTCTAGTGGGGTGGGCCCTACCACTGTGAGTAGCCTTGCTCCAGGTATCTGCTGGGTTAGGCACACAACAGGATTAAGTCAGAGGCTCAGCAATTTCTTTTGTCCACATGGAAACCAATTTAAATTAAGAACAAAAGGCCGAAACCTGTTTGGCTCAGTGGTAGAGCATCAGTCTGCGGACTGAAAGGCCCCAGGTTCGATTCCGGTCAAGGGCATGTACCTTGGTTGCGGGCACATCCCCCGCAGGGGATGTGCAGGAAGCAGCTGGTCAATGTTTCTCTCTCATCGACGTTTCTAGCTCTCTATCCCTCTTCCTTCCTCTCTATGGAAAATCAATAAAATATATTTTTTTTAAATTAAGGACAAAAGACTGATGGGACAGCTCACTCTTATCTGACACAGTGCAGTGCATCTATCCACCCAGCTAGCAGGTTAGGAAGCCATGCTATGTTTGCAGGGAAACTTTAGAAAGCGATTCTCGAGCCTCACTGGTGACAGACATCATTCACTTGTGATAAAGAGACTTATTACCTGCCATTGGGATTTATCACACAAATTATAATGAAGGACTGTTTAATTCATTTCACCTAACTTTACATAATGAAAAGGATCGTTTTTAAAATCAGATTCTTTTTTTTAAGTACATTACTCCTTCCCATTTTTATGTGGGATAAGAATGAGTACCTTTCAAAAGCTTGCAAAGAGGGAAAGGAGGAGGAGGAATAGAATCTGAACTTTTTCTATTCGTGACATTACGTAACTAAATGCTAATTCTAGTACGTTGGTCCTACCGCTCATAACTTTTGAGTCTGGGGAGAGGAGTGTTGTTAGTATAATAATATAATAATAATAATGATAACAGTTTTATTGAACTACTAAAGGCCCGGTACATGAAATTCGTGCAAGGGGCTGGGCCCTTGCAGCCCTTTGTCCAGAAGATCATCTGGATGGTCCTCCGGAAAGTTGTCTGGGCACAGTCGTTCTATTGTTTGGTCTTATTAGCATATTGGCTCTTTATTATATAGGATTATTCATAACTGGTTCTGTGTGCTTTATATGATTGTGTCATTTAGTCTTCAACACTGTTGTTATTATTCTCGTTTAATTGTAGAGAAATGAGGCTCCAGGAAGATAAATCGGTCACCCAAGGTAGCATCCATCTGGGGAGCTGATTCCCAAACACACACTCCTCTGCCTGCAGGTCCTGTGGTCCCTTTACCTATTCGCTCATGTTAGATAAGTAACTTTGAGAGAGAAAAGCCCCTGCTAACAGCTGGGAACTGGCCTGGCACTCCCTGAGGCCCTGGTGGTGTGGGCCAGCTGCTAGGTCTCGGCTTCTCCTGCTGAACAAAACCTCAGAACGTCAGTATCAGACAAAGTCACTGTATGACACCAATACAATGGGACCCAAAATAATCAAAACTACTCTATAATCTTGTCTAAGCACAGACAAATGCAAAACTAATGTGTAAACCACAAAAATACCCAAGTTCCATTCCTGGATATTATCATTGACACCTATTTTTTTTTCCTGTTAGCCTTATTTCAGTCCTCCATCCTTCTTGATGAAATTTACAAAGCTGCCTATTCATACAATCACCCTCACTTCCTGGCAGCTTTTAATCTAGAGCAATTCTCTACTTCCTTGGAACCTCTCCCCAATCGGTTAACACAACCCAAAATCCAATAATAAATCACCTTTCACACCTTTTTATTTAGACACTAGTGGTTTCCCAGGGTGTGTGTTTTTGTTGCAATAAGCAATAAACCCAACTTGTGTGATTACTGTGGTCTCTGGGTGGAAAGCATTGACAATTCCAAATGGAACAACAGAAGAATGGAGTAATAAATGGAAGGCAAACAAAGAATAGGATTGTTTACCAGAAACCTCTCTCTCTTCTTTCTCTCCTTTCCTATGCTCTCTTTTTCCTCTTCTCCCTCCTCCTCTTCCTCTTTTTTTTCTTTCTCTCTCTCTCTCTCCTCCTTATTATCTCTCTTGCTCGCTCTCTCTCTCCCAGGCACACCTCTCTCTTTTCCTCACCTTCTCAGGCCTGAACCTATGTGTGAACACACAAACCACAGCCGGAAGAAAAAGATTTATATCAGCTCCTCGTATATAATCTTCCGATAGCACTCCTAAATTGCTACAGAAATATTGTGACAGCTTAGCCACCATCACTCTCTCATAAGACTATAATAGGCATCCAGGGAGTATAATGTATAAAGAAAAAAGAAGCCTGCTGTATAAGGTAGGCTCTTTGCAAAGGTGCAAAAGGCAATTATACCGAGGCCATTACTCAAGGACCAGCTGAAGTGTTCTGCCTGCTTCCCAATGCCTTTCGGAGCTCTGACCCAGGGCCAGGAATCCCCGCACCCACTGCTATGCGGGCTACCCAGGAGTACAGAGCCACGCCAGCACACAGCTCCTGCCCCCATGAAAGAGAACATGGGGGTCACTGACACTAATCACTTTAGGGGAAAGTGGGAGTGTAAGGGTGCCCCCGGGTTACAGTCTGAAAGGGTAGGAATGTTCCAACAGCAAAAAGGAAGAAGGGGGAAGAAAGAAAGAAAAGGCTCCCCCAGGTGAGGCAAATGAAGAGGGCTGCTCCACTGCTAGGGCCACTGGAATTACGGATGCCCGGGCCATGAAAAATGCAGGAACCTCTCATACGCGGCCAGCCCGCCTCTGCCAGCTGCCATGAGAGCCAGAAGCTTGTTTACAGGCCTGATTTCCACCTCCAGGCAAAAGCAGCAGCAGAAATGCTACACTCACAGCAGAAATCTCAAGCTTGCCAATAAAGAATTTGTTTTAAATAGGACACAAATAACTAACTCTACAACATAACAATGTATAAAGTATTGTTCATTGGATCTGGGATGCCATCTGAATGACTTTTGCTTTGACACATATAAGTGACAAAGACTGAAAATATTTGTCACCAAGGACTTTGTACTATTGCTAATGTTTTGTTATTTGGATTGATATGATAGCTTTAATATTTCAAAAATGATATAGGCTGATATAATATTTCCAAAAAATTCCAAATGACAATTGGCAAAACTGAATTAAAAATGTAGTCTGGTAATTCAAACACTTGCACAATTCAGTACTTCCTCAACATAATTCAATTTTTATTCCATTGTAAAAGATAAAACTAAGTTTTTAAAACATAAACAATTAGTAATTTATATCTCCAATAGCTAAGAAAAAGCAAGTCACCCTTTTATAATGGAAAGAGTTAGTATAATATGATACAAATAGTAAGTAACTAATTCTCTTTAAAGACCCATTATAATATGTTTTGACAACTAATTTAATGATTGAAAATTGTACTTATGAAACATGAGTGGAAAGTCCTTCCCTATGAGAGAATAAACTGGCCACCTGCCCAACTGCCATTTAGATAGACTACTTTCAAACACAACAGTGGAACTAGCAAAAATTAACATTTTTAAAGAAACTGGGGAGGGGGGTAATGGAGTGGGGGAGAGAGGTAAATAAAGGCCTGCTTTCATTATTTGAGGTGTAACAAATTTTTTAATTATGTTTTTATTGATTTCAGAGAGAGGAAGGGAGCAGGAGAGAGAAACATCAATGATGAGAGAGAATCATCCAATGGCTGCCTCCCGCACGCCCCCTTACTGGGTCACTGCTCCGCCACTGAGCCACACCAACAGGGAAAAGTGTAACAACTCTTCGTACTGACATTCATATTTAGTATGGGCTCCATATTATTAGCTATGGAAACAATCTCACCAAGTCATGTGATATAATAATAGATTATATTGCACATGGATTTAAACATTAATTTGGAGACTTTTACCTCATTCAGGGTATTCTTTATCCATTTACACCTAGTAATTTGTTAAATAGACATGCCTGTAAAGTGTTTAGAAATGAACTAGCCTCAAGGGGCTCACTGCAGCTGCATTGTTCTGAAGCAGTTTCTTTAAAATGTTGAAAATTAGGCTATGAATATAACCACTCCCGCGGATGTCAAATAAATCACAATAAACTACACGTTAATGGCAGGCTTACATTTTTAGGCCCTCATTTTAGGGAACTGACTAATTATTAATATGACACTGATTTATTTCCTTTGCCAAGCCTGCAAATATACCGCATTTTAAGCATTGCATTAAAAGGTCACAGCATATTATCTCTCACAAATTATCATTCATATTGGACTTTCGGCTCCCACATTTAAACTGCGCTGATAGATGAACAACAAAAAAGATGAAGACCACACGTTTGTGTACCCATTTGAATACTTTTTTCTTATATGTGGTTTTCGATTACATTTTAACTTTTTTTTTTCCCCCTCTCCCAGTCAGAGCCTATTAATTTTGATCAGAGTTAATATAGAGAAGTCATACAACGGCATCTTTAAAATGTTTTTAAAGATCATTTATTAAATGGATGTAGCAGTTTACCCCAATGTGACCTCCAGTTGCTTGGCTCAAACATTACTCCATATATATATGAAAATGTAATGGAGATCCCTTGTCAAAAACTATATAATTTTAATGAAGAGACAAAAATATCCTTCACCGAAAGCACTGACCTAAATTAGACATTAATTTTCCAGACATTCATCTCGTCTCTTTAATTATATTACTTGGAGTCATTACAATGATGCTGTATTGCCTGTTAGTATAGAGAACTCCTTATGGTGCCCAGATGAGGAACTATGCATGACTCTTTTCATCCTCCCCAACATATCCCACTCTGTACAGAATGCATCAGCAAGTAAAGCTGCTTTGACTTAGTATTTAGGTCTCACCATACTAATGTAGAGATACCAAACACATATATAGACCCAAGAAAAACCTCCCCCTTTCTCTCACAGATCGGGGAAGGCTAAGAGTTACATTAGACAATGCTTAGTTTCCCCTGAAGACACCCACTAAACTTTGGGGTCTATTTCAGAGTCTTTTACATTTGTCCCCAAACACATTTTCTCAGAATATGTTGATTTTTCTGGAGTGGACGAGTGGGTCATAGAAGGGAATTTCTATTCCCCCTAAGTATCTGTTAGTGTAGAGCCATATTTTTTTAAAATATATTTTATTGATTTTTTACAGAGAGGAAGAGAGAGAGTTAGAAACCGATGAGAGAGAATCATCGATCAGCTGCTCCCTGCACACCCCCCACTGGGGATGTGCCCACAACCAATGTACATGCCCTTGACCAGAATCGAACCTGGGACCTTTCAATACGCAGGCTGACGCTCTATCCACTGAGCCAAACCTGTTTCAGCCATATTTTTTTTTAAATGACAATCAAGTTCTTCTAAGAAATAGTACTGGTAATCTTATTAACTCGAGTATTCATTTACTAAACAAATATTAATTTTTTGGTTATGTATAAAATTTTATGCAGAAGAGACGGAGGAATAATGAAATCTTTCACATGCATACATCATGGCCCCAGGAACGTACTTATTACCTGCTGTGATGTCACTGGATAATTTTCCTGGCTGGTAGAGATTCAGCTTAAGTTTCCCATCATCAAGAAAGAGGAGGAGACCCCCCAAAACCAGCTGAAGCTCGCTGAATAGCAGAAAGCCCGCATTATTCCAGGTTCGAAATTGAAAAGCAGCAGCCACCTCGTCCTCCCTGGGAAAGCCTGGCAGCGCTAAGTAACTCCTGGGGCTGAGAAAAGTCACAGGCACAGACTGGGGTTGTGAGCAAGAAAAAGACATGTTTCCCTGGAATAAAGTCAAAGAAAAAGCTTTAAGGATGAGTCCATCACATTAGCAATAGAAGCTGAAATAGCGTCAATCTCAAATTATCCTTGATGTAAAACACATTGCTGTCCACACCCAAATTCAGATTCTTGTCATATATGCAAATCCAGTGATTATAAATCATGCAAATCTTTCCCTGGGTTTTTCTAGATGAAATTCTTTTCTCCCCATCTCTCAACTTTCACGCCATCTAACCTACTTGGATTGAATTCAGTAAACATTATTTAAGCCAACTCTTTGTTTTATCTTTTACCTGACTTTCCTTTTCCACTCATTTCACCCCTTTGCTGCCTTTGGCTTCGAATCCATCCCATAACATAGCCAATATTAATAAGCTACTGTTTTTATTTCTATGTTTTTCTCTGTATTTATTGAAACAGTTTCAGCTGTATGTTCAATTATATACTAGTATACATAAGCACTTAAATCCAGAATGTCCCAAAAAATTGTATATACACTTTAATAGCTTAACTTTGAAAATAAAATGCATTTATAATTACTCACAGTGTATGTATACATTTTGGGTGAGGATACCATGTGTGTGTGTGTGTGTGTGTGTTGAATGCATATACCTACACACTGGGCATTATTTGTTTTACAAAAGTAGGAACCACTTACTGTATCATTCTTTTTCTTTTGTTAGTCCTTACCTGAAGATATTTCTCCCACTGATTTTAAGAGAGAGAAACATTAATGTGAGAGAGGCACAGCAATCGGTTGCCTCCCACACCCACCCTGACCAAAGCCGGGGTTTCAGCCTGCAACCAAAGTACATGCCCCTGACCGGAATCAAACCTGCAACTCTTCAGTCCATGGACTGAAAAAAACTGGCTAGGGCTATATCATAATTTTATCATTAAAATATACCTTGTGGAAATCTTTTTGAGTTATCTGACATAAGCCAAATTCCTTCTTTCTATTTAGTATGTGAATGGTCCTTACCATACTCAATTGTTTTTCTGTTAATGTGCATGCCCTCTGTTCCAGGTTTTGCTGCTTCCAACAACACTGTCATAAATAACTGTGTGAAGAAGATTCTAAGTACAGAACTTCAGGTACCTAGATGTTTTAATAAATAGTTTCAGCTTCTTTTTCAAAAAAGAAAATAAATAAAGTTAAAATACTCCACACTTCTACCAGTAATAAATGAGGTTATCCTTTTCCCCACATCCTTGGCAGCAATAGGTATCATAGACCTTTTAAATTTGTACAAATTCAATGGCAAAAATGTCAAAGCAATATATCATTCTTAGTTATTTTTCATTGACCTGACTAGCAGTGAATCTGAGCATTTTTCACGTTTCGTTGTTCTTTTCAACTTGCTTTCCTCAGAGTGGTCTGCATATCTTTGACCTATTTTTCATTTTTCCTTCTTCTCTGCAGGTTTTACATTGGGCACTACAATGTTCAAGGCACTACTTACACTCCTTTTTTAAACATTTGTGGGTTGTTGTTTTTTCTTATCACTATGCATTCTCATCAGATTTACAGGTATTATTTCTCATCCAATGGTTTTAAAATAGGTCTTCAAAATACATTATATTACATAATTTTTATTAAAATACTGTCTAAAAAATTATTTTGCTACTGGAGTAAAATAGATAGATAAATAGATAGATAGATAGATAGATAGATTGATTGATTGATTGATTAAGGATTTAAAAAACCTTAAGGTCTGAATAATTTAGAAAGAATTAAGCATTTTCTTCAACATGCCTCAGAAATGAAGATAAATGTTTTTATTTTTCCTGAAAATGATCCTTAGTAAACTTTTCAAATACAGACTTAAAAAGTCAATAAAATAAATTTTATTTAGAAGAATATACATTAAAATTTAACCATTTAGTCTTGGTTAAACAAAAGTTTTTGGTTATATTGTGATTCTGTTAAAAGTGAATTTAGCTTTTATTGTTGCAAATATCTTGTCCCAAAGAATGAAAAACTAAAACTGAAAAGTAGACTACACTGGCCTACAATGTAAAGGCAACTATACAATGAACACACTTAGTGAAAATGGAAACATTTACCAGCTGCAGTTTGGTCTCATGCCTCATCTGGACAGCTGCCTGCTGCCCTGCGAGCAGCAAATCCTTTGCCAGTGAAAAGTGGGCGTTAGTTGCAGGAAGAGTTTCTGAAAATTCATTTTGCCAATTAAACACACCTACTTCTGCAATATCATATTTTCCTCTTAAACCATTTCCTCAATTATAAATACACACACACACACACACACACACACACACACACACACACACACATATATATATATATATATATATATATATATATATATATATATATATATATGTGTATTTTTTTTTAATGTCTGTGGAACACTGGCCAGGTAACTCAGTTGGTTAGAACGTTGCTCCAATATGCCAACGTTTTGGGTTTGATCCATGGTCAGGGCACATACAAGAATCAAGCATTGAATGCATAAATAAGTGGAATATCAAATGGATTTCCCCCCTCTCCCTCTCCTTTTCTCTCTCTCTCTCTCTCTCTCTCTCTCTGAAATCAATAAGTTTAAAAAATTTTGCTGGATGTTATATTCATATAAATGCTATTAATTCACACAGAGAATTCAGGATGACATATTTTGTAAACAATAAACATTCCTATGATGTGCTTTGAAACTTGCAAGTGAAGAAACAGATTCAGATGTTTATGCGTGTACACTTTTTAATCATCAAACTGGTTAAACTGGACACCACGTTTCATAGAATCCCCTTTCTTGTCTGTTCTGGTTAAAAGTTAGCCAAACGGGGAGCTTGCGTGCTATCTGAGCGGGAGGTGACACGGTGGCCATTTTCCTCCAGGGCTTGGAGTGTGTGAGGGTCACAGTGAGGGATGACCACCGATGCTGGTGCCAGCTCTCCCTGTTGCTCCCTCACTACCCCTCTTCCCGACACGGGCCTCCACGTCCCAGCTCCTCAGACAATGGTTAAACTCCACGTCCTCAATCAGATCCCTTGTTCATAAAATTCAGTGGCGCTGCTTTCCCGACTGAGCCTGACCTATAGGCTTGCCTTTAAACTCTGCCATATTTCCGCCGAATTAGAACACAGGGTAGCCTGGCCAGCACGGCTCCTGGGACAGATGGGCAGATGCGATGTTGTCACAGCCAATTAGCTTCTTTTATTTGTTATGAATGACCATGGCATATGCGTTTTTCAAATGCCTCTCTAATATACATGGATGTTATCTAATTCCAGGGAGTCCGTATGTTTGTTTAGAGTGTGTGTCAGGGAACATCTTATTAAGGAAATTACAAAGCAAAAGAAATTAGTCTCCTGGGAGTAATAATATTGCAACAAAATGATCCACTGGAAAAAAAAAAAAGACCCCTGCTTTACTTCATATGAAATAAAATAACATGCCTTATGAATTATAATTCCTTTAGATAGAATTAATTTCTTATACGCATGTTGCCAAGCAGAGAAAGGCTTTAAAAGAATAAGAGCAGAGTCTAAAGCAGCTTATCAAATGGAGCAGTTCCGTCGTGTGAAAAGCAGCGTAGTTTTACCCCTTCCTTCATGTGAAAGCTCTCTTACCATCGCGATGATCTGTGGCTTTTGTCGCTTGGCCAAATCAATGATGTCTACTCCATTATAATAGAGATTTTCTAAACACCCGTGGAAGTTTTTCTGGGAGAATGACACTGATTTTCCAGGTGCTAGAATCCCTCCAAAGCTGATCTTAGAAAGAAAAATGGCATCAATAATATTGTTTAGTGACTTTCTGATAATCAGCTTAAATGATTATGTTTAGCAACTATCACTGACATCATCTTACATGGCAATTTTTCATCACCCTACACTGTCATACTGTTACTGTCAGATATTTTTAAAATAAAGATACAGATTTTAAAACAAATTTATACAAATTTATATGCATTCAATTTTCACTTACATTAGTATTTAATAAGCCTTCTATGATGCTAATTACCCCCAGATTTGATATTTATTGTTGATGAATAAAATCACTTCTTTTTATCCTTGGTAAACCTGATCTGTTTAATAATGTAACTGATGACAATCACATTTCATTTTATATTCATTTTTGGCATACATTGATAATAAGTATTTGAATTGATTGTTAATGAATTAATTGATCTATTATTTGCTATATCCTCCCAATAAGTCTTCACTATTCAGGGTATCCTATAACAAAAAAATCAGGCAACACAATTTGCATTTATTTGTGGCAATGAGATCTCTTCCTGGAGATTCCTTGCATGTGACATTCTGTGATCACACATTTCAAGTAAAAAAGATCCTCTCTCTATAATAATAAATTAACATAAGAATATAATAAATTAACATATTGTGAGAAAGATGAAGTCTCCGCAGAGGATGCCCAAGTCTGCTACTGTGCACTGTCACCTAGGGTTTCTCCAGGACTTTGACTCACTCTGAGAGTGGTGTTCTCAATAGTGTGTTTTCTTTTGCTGGGCTCAACCCCATACACATCCTTAAACTTGTATCAACGGAAACATAGCCATCACACCTCAGGATCCAGGTCCAGGTAGCTGAACTCCCCCTGGGCGTGGAAGCGGTGCCGGTGCTCGTCCACGGTGAAGTTGACCAGCTTGCCGGCACGCTGGATGAGCACCGTGTGCCAGTGCTGATCGTCCAGCAGGCTGCCCAGGGTGAGGTTGATCGGGGGGTGAGGAGAGGGCAGTCTAGTGTCAGCTTAGAAAAGAAAAACAAGAGCACCATCATTCTCAGTCTTTAAAAAAAAAAAAAAAAAAAAAAAAAGCTTCCATAATTTCCACCTCCTTCCATGCATTCCACCCCAACACTAGTGTGGATTTACCTGAAGTAGAATAGAATATCCTCTCAACCTTGCCGTAATTTCTTCCACTGTTAATTCTTTTTATTAGTATTACCCATCACGCGCACATTTTCAATATAAATTTTATGTTTCCTACAACCTCATTATTTTTACTACCTTAATATTTTTTAATGACCCATCTCTTTCTTCCTGATGGTAAGAAATAGCTATGTAGGTCTATTGGCACTATGTAGAAACACTGAATAGGGGTCTTACACAATTTGCAAAATATGAACCATTTCAAATGAAAGCACAATACTGGAGTGTGTATGTATATTCATATATATATAAATGCCCTGATTCTAGAAATAAAGTGCCTTAATTGTTATAAGATATAAACACATAAAGTTACTGAAGTGATATCTAAATGACCGGATTTCAAGCCTTTCACCAGACAGCGTTACCTGAATCCATGAGTAAAAAGAGTTTTCCTCTTCTCAGTTCCAGTGTGATGTGATCTCCATTTTGCCCTTCCCTGTGGAGTAGAATCCCATCACTCTGCATGGTTTTAAATTTCAAAGAAATAATCTCCTTTATGGGGCTCGGGGACTTTTGATCAAATCTGTAGAGGAGAGGATTGCTTCCATCCAGATCAACCACCTCTGATCCTAGGGACAAAGACACTGAAAGTCACTCTAGGATAAACCTGCTTTTCAGGAAGCATCTTAATAAATGTCTATGTTCAGAGAAAGCACCGTACAAATATGTATGGTTTAGCTCCCAGCCAGTCATATTAAAGAAAAATAAAACCACCACTTGTCTAACTCCCTTCTGATACCTGGGATTGGTTCCGTTTTAGTCTTTACTAACCTATTTCCAAACTTCATTTTAAAATACATTTCTAATTTTCATTTATATTATTAAAGGCTGTTCTTTCTCAGTCCATAAAAAAAGAAAATGGGAAAAATGGTTATGATCCATAGTCATAAACCACTTGGCATACTCCACAATCAGTATTTTTTATTTTTAAATGGTGTTCTTGAGATGTCAAAGTTAAATGTTTTGGCTTCTGAAAAAGTGGTTTTGATATCTCCAAATACTTTCATACCTGCCATATATAAAGGATTTCTGCATACAAATAAACACACATACATCAGACCCATCAAATGCCACTTTAAGTAAATATTAAACTGACCTTTGTGTTTGGTTTTATTGTATTATTTTTGTGGCTAAGTAATAGTATTTAACAGCAGTGCTATTGTCTTTCTTTTCAAGGGCGTCGTTAAAAAGACATTCACTTAATGATATTATAAGGGCTGTTCTGCTGCATTTGTGTCATAACTGTGACATTGACATGTTTGTTCAGCTTTCTGACAGTGTCTTATCTACTCATTGTCAAGATCGCTCTTATTCAGCTCATCTGAAAAAGATGTCATGTTATACCAGGAGCATAACAGTTCATCTGTCAAAATCAGATGCACCCTGAACAAGAAACACAAAAAGGAATTGATAATACTCAAAAAGCCTAGCAGTGTTTTTTACATTTCACAAGTCAGAGATTTTTTTTGAAAGGCAATTACCCTTGTGAATGCATTTATGTAATAAATGAAGAGGTTAAGAAAACCCAATAAAATCTGAAGCTATTTTTCAACTGGCTAGCTAACTTCTCCCAGTCAAAAAAAAAAAAAAATGACATTACAGTTTACTCATCTTATTTCAGTTGACAAAAGTATTACAACTTCTTGTGGTATACCCAAATATGCATTTCATTCAGATTATTCAAAATATTTCATGTGAATTATTTATATTCACCACCACCCAAATTTTTTTCAACTGTTCTATACAGCTATGTTTTGAAATTCCAGTGGTTTGATATTTCCACATCTTGCTAATGTGTTTATAAAGAATTCACCAAGGGTACATGAATAAACATTGCATTCTGTAGAAAGAATAATGTTAACTGAGCAATTATTCCTTGTTATATCACTGGAAAAAAATGTGCACAGTAAAAACATAACTCTGTGTCAAATACAAATAACATGTTCTATGATTATTAGATTACAATAAATTAAGAAAAATTCCAATAAGACAGACATTAAATATGGACACATTTAGAGCATTGCATTATCACTGAGTTAATGTATAGCTTAAAGGCAACCATAGTGATATTGGTTTTATTTTAGATAAAGTCTATTTTTGGAATTAGCTACCAAGAGAATTTTTCCCCAGGAAAGATTTAGTCTGTGTTACTTTAGTCTACTGTTTCTTTTGTTTTGAAATCTTTTTCACTATTGTTATTATGGCACTAAAATGGTCGTATTAACCTTTCATGGCACCTAAAGTTTTTGTGCCTGGAATATTTCCATCAGTAAAATGAAATAGTGAAAACCATATCAGGCAATTGATGCCTAAAGCAATGGTATATTGTTTCGTGTCTTAAACTGAAGCCACCTGCCATTTTCTCTGACTCTTACCCATTTCCTTCTTACTTCACAGGTATATAACACTAATGTGATGCATTCATGCAACAAATATTTATTTAGTTCATCATATTTGAGGCACTGTGATGGATGCTTAGATAAAAAGAGTAATCAACACAATCATACCCCATGGCTTCCATCCAGTGAAGATGGACAATAAATACCAAGTGAATAAATAAGTTCATAGACTATTATAGACCTACTAGAGGCCCGGTGCATGAAATTTATGCACGAGGGAAGGGGGTGTGCCTCAGCCCAGCCTGTACCCTCTCCAATCTGGGATCCCGCTCACAATCCAGGACTGCTGGCTCCCAACTGCTCGCCTGCTTGCCTTCCTGATTACCTCTCACCACTTCTGCCTGCCAGCCTGATCACCCCCTAACCACTCCCCTGCCAGCCTGATTGATGTCTAACTGATCCCCTGCCAGCCTGTTTGCCCCCCACTTCCCTCCTCTGCTGGCCTGGTCCCCTTAACTGCCCTCCACTGCAGAGTTGATTGTCCCCAACTGCCCTCCGCTGCTGGCCTCATCACCCACAACTGTCCTCCCTTGCAGGACTTGGTCCTCCAAATTGCTCTCCCTTGCTGGCCATCTTGTGGTGGCCATCTTGTGCCCACATGGCGGCAGAATCCTTGACCTTATGGGGGTAACCATCTTGTGTGTTGAAGTGATGGTCAATCTGCATAGTACTCTTTTAATAGATATGATAGAGGCCTGGTGCACGGGTGGGGGCCAGTTAGATTGCCCTGAAGGGTATCCTTGATCAAGGTGGGGGTTCCCTGGAGTGTGGGACAGCCTGGGAGAGGGGCCTGTAGTAGTCCGGAAACCCAAGCGGAGGCACTAGTATCTGGAATTTATCTTCTACAATTGAAACTTTGTAGCCTGTAGTGGAGCCAAACCTCCTGCTTGCTCAGTGGCGGCAGCCATTTCTGTTGGAATTTATGTATCTTCTACAATTGAAACTTTGTAGCCTGGAGTGAAGGTCTGAACCGGCCAGGGCTGCAGAAACTTGGCTTCCTCCATCACCTGGGGAAACCCTAGCCTCTGCTCTTACAACTCCATGACTGCCGCCATTTCTGTTGGAATTTATTTACCTTCTATAATTGAAACTTTGTACCCTTTAGTGGAGGCCTGGGCCCACCAGGGTGTGTGGAAAGCTTGGCTTCCTCCATTGCCAGGGAAACCTAAGCCTCCCTCCTGCTCTCTGTGGCTGCAGCCATCATAGTTGGGAGTTAATTTGCATACTTACTCTGATTGGATGGTGGGGCGTGGCTGGTGGGTGTGGCTTGCCGGTATAGCGGAGTGATGGTTAATGTGCATATTACTCTTTTATTAGATAGGATAACAGGTGTTCTGATCAAGGTTAAAGGAAGACTAGGGTCACCTTAGTTAAGGTAGCTGGGAAAACTCAGTTCTTAGGTCTAGAAACCAGACTCTCAAGCATACTGCAATCAATAATCTATTCTGCATGGTCTTTAAGTCCAATTCTTATCCTCATAAATGACAATTACTCTTAAACGTTTCATTCCAAGAGGCCTGGACATTCTCCCAACAAATTTTCTCCTTCACTGTCATGAAAGGAAGCTCCAGGGACTGCTGGGTGACTACAGGGACAGTCAGTAAGTTAGTTCTCAGGAGAAAACACTAATGAGGGGGATGGCCTTGGGAAAAGGGGCCTGGAAGCCAGAAAGTAGTGAAGTAGGGGAATCAACACACTGGCTACAATCACATCACAGAGTCACATGCATGTGAATCACACCCTCCAAGGGGAAAAATCTAAACATAATTCAGAATGTGAGTACAGAATTCTATATATACATGCTATATATATTTTTTTTCAAAAAAAGAAAAATATTCACATGATTCCTAACAGTATTACTTTAAATAGAAAATTCACTTATAATGGCTCTACTATAAGTCACTTTTCTTAAACTCTATATAACATAGCTGACACATGAAAAGCATACAACTTCAAAAAATAATCATAAAACACTAGGACACATAAAGTTAAGGATATAAAAATATTAAACTCTGGAAAAAAAATCTTTTGAAAGAGAGAGACAGCATTTGAATTCAGTGTCCCATGGTCAGCATCTAGCACACACGCTAAGGATGCTGGTGGGAAACACAGATACAGACTCTCTTGAAAGTGATCTTACCACTGTTACAAAAAACTGAAGAAACTGAAAAATACATCAAAGGCAGAACTTCACATCTTTTCAGTGTCATACTGAGCGTTTTCTAACAGGCCTCATCTAAAGATTAGTTAATTCTAAAATAAATATATGTCTGATTTTACCATTTATTACTGATTATGGAATCTGTTAAGTAAAATGTTAATTTTCAGATATTTTTTCCCAGTGGAGATTCAAATGGCTTCTATTTGGTAGAAAATACATCTCCAACGGTTATGAGTTTTTTTATTGCCCTGATGGACACTAACCATTTGTGTACTTAACCTAGTACCAGTAACCCAACACTCTTTCTTGAATTCCTATCTGCACTCAGTCTCTTGAATTTTCTTTGGAGTAGCTTCTAATTTCTACCCTAATGATTCAAATACATCTTCGATAAGTATTTATTCTGTATTTGAATGAGTCATGCTTTTACATTTTTGAAAATTTTACTTTTAAGACCACTAACGTAAAAAGTACACTTGGACTTGACTTTGCTGCCTGGGAAAGAAACATTTCTAGTCTCAGACGTTACTGGTAATGTTCAGGATGAATGGATTTTCACTATTCCAAAAGATTTTCAGATTTCGAACTCTCAACAGAGCACGGCCAATGCAAAAACATGTCACACACAAAAAAGTTCAGATAATTTATAACAATATTTCTTTATATTAAATCTACCTATAAGAGATCTGAGTATATGTTGTTCATAGACTTAATTCAACTCACCCTGGCTGGTGTTGATAAGTGATTAGAGCCCCAAAGCCAAAAGGGTCATGAGTTTGATTCCTGGTCAAGGGCACATAGCTGATTTGTAGCTTCCGTCCCCAGCCCCGGTTGGGATGAATATGGGCGGCAACCAATCAATGTGTCTCTCTCACATGGATGTTTCTTTCTCTCTCCTGCTTCTCCTCCCTTCCTTCTACTCTCTCTAAAAATCAACGGGAAAAAATATCCTGCCCTGGCTGGTTTGGCTCAGTGGATAGAGTGTCGGCCTGCAGAATGAAGGGTCCCA